AAAAAATTTCTCAATCCTGCCGGCAAGTTGTAAATATCGACCAACTCGTATTTTTGAATTCCGTGAAATATTACTTTTCACAACACCATAGCTTCCACACACGCAGCTAGAACAAGGTATCTACTTTTAGCAGTGTTCATGTTTTCATACAGAAATAATTTGAAAACGGTGAACAGTAAGCTCGTTCGCCAAAGCATGAGTGTATGATCTATGAAGTAGAACATATATTTAGCATTTAATCTATTGTTGTATTTTCTCATGCTCTGTCATTAGGCTGCGACTACAGATATTTTTCATACGCCAATTTCTACGTGAGAAAGTGAATCTCATTTCATTTGGTTATAAACTATATATGTATGTTGCAACTAGCATTCAAGTTATTGTTTTTGGAAATTTAACGTAAATTGTAACAGTGAAATCTGCACAACAGTATCATCAGGCATTAATATTTCACTATTGGCTGATTTCTAAAGGACATGACATAAGCATCCGCATAAACGTAAACTTAAAAAATATTTAATTCAAAGAAGAACAAATGAAGAATTGAATAAAAATTCCACGATGTCTTTGTTCTTGTAAACATTTTAGTAAGAGAAACTAAAGTCTTTTCGCTCATATTCATTCCACTGTTGTAAAACATGCATAAACGTTTTAGCACGCTGCCTTACCCTACACTATAAAGACAAAAAATGTTTTCATATTCTTAAAAATTATTTATCAGGATTAATGGCACAATTTCACAGAATACATACGTCAGTTGTTTTGCGGTAATAGTCAATCTGATGAATGTCGCGAGCTAAACCAAAGTCTGCAATTTTCATTACTCTATCTTCACCAACTAAAATATTCCTGGCAGCAAGATCGCGATGAATACACTACAAAATTATTGGTGGTGTAAGGATAAATCATCACACCAATGCTTATATAGCTGTACAGTGATATAGTTCAATCTAAAGCTACCTTTCTTCCTGACAAATATTCCATTCCACGAGCAATTTGATAACTGAAGGAGACGAAATCCCTAAAGCACAACTTTTCTTCTCCTTCTATTGGAATGGTCTCTCCGTTTCGGTCAAGTCTTCTTTCACGAAGATATTCTCGTAAATTGCCGAAAGGTGCGTATTCGACAACCACCAGTAGCGGTCCTGAGAATTTAATGAAAGTAAATCAACGAAGCATAGTTTATGCGTGTAAGCATGTAGCTAGTAGGTATTCTCAACATTCAGTAGACTTTCAAAATCATCAGGAATGACACTTACGTCTGACAAAGCCGAGTCATGTCTTCGAAAACGCTGATTGTTCAACAGCGGATTCGTCGAGCTAGTCGACACAGATGATGAAGTAGAGCTCAGCAGGTCTCTCCCTTCCGTGGATAATTTCGAGGGCGATAGCCGGCAACGCTAAACACGCGTTTCTTGTGTTTCTTGCATTTGAATATTAATAAGTAGGCAATAATTGAGCCTATGACACGAACGATGGCAGCCACGGATACAACAATGTAAAGGGAAATTCTTGAACTCTGAACTGATTCGTCCTTCTCAACTGGTTGTTGCTGGAGCATGCTGATGGTGCTGGAAAAGTCTGGTTTGCTGTAAAAGAAATGTGTGTAAACAAATAGTTGCAAACCTTGTTTTTGAAAATAGCTACAGTCAAACAGTCTTTGTCAGAAAATCACGTGTCATATGTAGATCACGCGTCAATGATAACACCTTTTTTATGGAAATAATCGTGGAAGTGAGATTAAAATCCATTGCTCTTAAAATTTCAAATAAAGTAAAAATCTCTAAAATAGCAGTTGCCCAGACAACGTGGAAAAGTTTTTTCGCTATTCGTAAAAATCATTGTAGTTTTTTCAGAGTTTTGTTGCTCCTTGTGAAAACATACAATGCGTTGATTGGTGTCAGAGTGTTAGATATAATTATATTTTATTTACCGGCTGGGAGGTTCGGATGGGAAAATATTTTCCCGAGGTCTCAAAAAAAGCCCGTGGCCGCAGGCTGAGAGATATTTTTGAGACCGAGGGGAAATATTTTTCCATCCGAGCAAATCTAAATAACGTATATACTTTTGCTAAAATAAACAATGAAAACTTTGCTCTTCATTTTACTTGAGCAAACTCAAAATTCACCTAAAATAGATTATTATAATCAAAAGATGGCTGATAATTTCCTTTCGGAGTAAAACAAAACCAAACAAAACAGAAAAAGTCTTCGCTCAAGTATTAGCAAGAGGATTCCGGACAGCAGTCAGATATCGTAAAATTTCGGACCGCGATCAAATATCGCAAAATCCCGATGGCTGCCACAGCCACTCAGATTACAGGAAAAGCTAGGATTCTGCTCGCTGCGAAATTTTAAAAAAACAAAAGGATTTATCCATATCGCAGTTAAATTCAGCTAGTCACTTGATTAACAGTCGAAATAAAACTAATGAAACCATTCGACTAGACCAGGGATCTCCAAACTTTACAGCCAGAGGGCCACATGAACTTTCATTCAGCATGTTGAGGGCCGACGAACCGTATACCGCAGGTCAAAGAGCGAATATTTTAATAAAACGAAGTACATTACACAAGCTTCATTAGTTAAGAAAATATTTATTCAAAATTTGAAGGTTAAATTTCAACCAAGAGTAGTATCATAACAAAATAACTATTAGTCTGTTCAGTTTTCTCAATGTGAGTGGTGAAATTGGCTTCTTAAGTGTCTCTGCGGGCCAGATTTAGAGGCCGCATCTGGCCCGCGGACCGTAGTTTCGAGACCCCTGGACTAGACAATAAGCTCATGCAATGGTTGCGAAACTGCGCCAATGGTTTTATATGAGCGAAAAATAAAACATAAAAACGCACTCACCTGACATGGAGACTGGCGTCATAGGTCTTGGTAAAACGTGGAGGTAGAATCTTGTTTTATCATAACCCAGGTTATCTCCAACGACACAATAATAGTACCATTCGTCTTTTTTGGTTTAGTTAATGAAGAGAATATGCACACCATGATGTCGTTCATCTCCACCTTTCCATATACATTCGTCTTCGCTCAAGTTGGGATCCAGGAAACGTACAGTTGCATTTTCTCCTTCGACAACAGCCCACTGAAAGTGCGGCAGACTATCGCTAAAAGCTTTACAAGTTGCCTTCACGTTGTCACCTTCTTATGCAGTGATGTTCTTCATATGCGTAATTAGAGGCTTTGTTATGAAGACTTCTGAAAAATCGATTTTAGCATGCATTTTGTAAGCGATTTGTAAAAAAATAGGAAGAAAATTAAAGAAAGAATTGATATATATTAAAGCATTTGACATAGCAATTTTATTGGTGAAAGTCTCTAGATACCGATGTTATATGCTTTGTAAATAAGTCAATTAATATTCGGAAAAGAGTGTAAAAAAACAGGTCCATTTTACTACATAAATTAAGAAACGTGAAAAATGCCTTGATGTTATCTGCAAGATTTAATTTCTATCAGTCACTTAGAAAGTAATTCAACCCAGAAATTTAGCATTCAAATAAACTCATGCGCCTCTATTTTGTATAATGGTCATTAAAGAAAGTGTGCTATCCTGCATGCTGCCCAAAGCACCCTCAAATTTTGCAATTTCAGGCTGTAATTATTCATAGAAGGACTGAGGAGAGTAAATTTCACTAACTTCTATCAACCACAATTCAAAAATCGAAGATGGCGTCTAACGATCAACTATCACTAGGGACAACGTAATATGTGAATGTGCACACCCCCACACACAATTAACGTTATAGTTACGCCTCTGGCGATCGCTGCAGATCTGCGACAATGCAACTAAAAATGTTTAAGCCTGGCCCTCATTGGTGACATAAGGATAAGCATAAATGTGTCCTCACTTTCAAACTGCAATAAGCACAATTATCAATAAAAATAACAAGAACAAAGAGTTTTGACAATCTTGTGCGTATGCAGGATGAATAAAACATCGCACAGAATAGAGAAAATCTAAACGTACAATTTACTAACCTCTTCTTTCGCCTCAAGCTTTCTACTCAAGTTTTGAATAACTTTCTTGTGCACTTCCAACATTTCCTTTTTCTCCTTCAAGACTTCAGCATTATGAGCTATCTCATTTTCAAGTCCCTGGAGATTTTTCTGTGCTTCCTCGAGTTTTTCGCGAACGCCCTTCAAACGCTTTTCGACATGATCGCGGCCAAGCCTTAGATCGCCATTACACGCCTCTAACTGGCCGATGTGATGTTCTTGCTCCTTCAAAACTTGCTTCAATTCAGTCATGGTTACTGTATCCATGTCGCAGCGACCTTTAAGGGTTTTGATCTCGCCTAGTCGAAAATTAAACGACATGGTCATGTTTTCAATAACAACAGCTTCCAGAGGAAGCAAATCTTGAATTCTTTGACAAAGAACTCTCGATGAGCTAACATTGAAATAAAAAATTTATTAACACGATCAGGAGTGTTTTTAACGATTTTTACGGGCGAGAACACAAAAGAAAACCATTAAAACCTCGTGAATAAATAGACAACCACGTCTAACTCATTACTTCTTTGCGGATGTAGATCGTCCAGAGTTCTGAGAAGGACCATTGGTGTTGATGTTGATTGACGTTTTGAAAACCTTAGCGGTAGTCATCTTCAGATTCAAGTCACTTACACGATACAAATACAGAAACGCTTTATATGGATAACATTTATCAAATTCGTGATATCGTGTTACATCGTGGCGAATTTTCTTACCTGCTTTCGCGATTGACAGAGGCTTAACTAGAACGTTAAATGAGGGGTAAATATTCTTATAGTCAGTTTCGCCCGACAGATTTTTTTTGAGTATCAATGTATCAATGTTTAATGTATCAATGCTCATATGTAATTCATAATGATACATATGACATATGTATCATACAGTATTACCATGTATCATACATTATTATGTATTTTACATAATTACATATGACATGAAGTATTAACATGTGTTAGTTGTGATAATTAGTGTATGCCCATAATACATTCATATTTCAGTTTGATGTTCGTGAATGTTTCTCCTCGCGAGGACTCTTTCCAGGAAACCCTATGTTCACTTCGATTTGCCACTCAGGTATGATTCGTATATGTCATAGCATGATTTCGAGTGCAATTCGGGGAAAACATGCACGAGTGAGTTTTTCAAAGACTATCGAAATTGCACGAGTCTGAAGGACGAGTGCCTGTTTTTCCCAAATTGCACGAGAAACCATGCTATTACTTATTAATAATATACATGAAAAAATTTCTCAATCCTGCCGGCAAGTTGTAAATATCGACCAACTCGTATTTTTTAATTCCGTCAAATATTACTTTTCACAACACCATAGCTTCCGCACACGCAGCTAGAACAAGGTATCTACTTTTAGCAGTGTTCATGTTTTCATACAGAAATACTTTGAAAACGGTGAACTGTAAACTCGTTCGACAAAGAAAATCAACTTGAAACTTCGCTAGCCATTGTAGTTGCTTTTTTTACAATAACTTAAACTTTCCCGCCTTCGAAATATTGTATTATGATTGGCTCTTACGTAGATCACTTCTTTGTTTGACTAACCAATTAGGAACACAGTTTTCAAAAATAAATTTCACTGCTCATAACCAATTGAGAATTTTTTTCATGTATATTATTCTAAATACAACTTTACACCATATGACCAACATTACACCATATGACCAACCTTACACCATGTGACCAACCTTACACCATGTGACCAACTTTACACCATATGCCCGACCTTACACCATGTGACCAACTTTACACCATATGACCAACCTTACACCATGTGACCAACCTTACACCATATGACCAATCTTACACCATATGACCAACCTTACACCATATGACTAACCTTACACCATGTGACCAACCTAACACCATATGACCAACCTTACACCATGTGACCAACCTTATACCATGTGACCAACCTTTCACCATGTGACCAACCTTACACCATGTGACCAACTTTACACCATATGACCGACCTTACAACATGTGACCAACTCCACACCATATGACCAACCTTACACCATGTGAACAACCTTACACCATATGACCAACCTTACACCATATGACCAACTTTATACCATATGACCAACCTTAACACCATGTGACCAACCTTACACCATATTACCAACCATACACAATATGACCAACCTTACACCATATGACCAATCTTACACCATAGGAACAACCTTACACCATGTGACCAACCTTACACCATGTGACCAACCTTACACCATGTGACCAATAATGAGACTTCTTCACTCTCACGTTCATGTAGTATTGCAGTTTGCTTTTCAGCTTGACATTGATATTTTATTTTTAATTTCATCAACCTTTCGTTTCATTCTTCAATATGTAGCTTTGTTTGTTTTATTTTAAGGTAAACAATTGTAATATTGGTACTGCTCAAAAAGTGAAGAAGTGATTTCTCAAGGCTAACTTTGTAGATAAATAAAAATTATTTGCGCGGATTTGCGTTGCAGTTTTATTGATGTATATCATTAGAATGATAATATAAGAATTTGAGAACTACTTCTTCATAGGAATAATAGCGTTATAAAGTATTAAATGATAATTCAATGTGCACAAGACAATGTCTCAGTTCATATAACGCTACATTCTGGGTCTCATATAAACTTATATTGCTGGCGGTGAAAAATTGATATGAGTAGTTTAGCACCTTTTGTTATAACATCAGACTAGCACGCTAGTAGCAAAGATTAAAACAGTTTGAAATGTTCTTGTTGAATGAATATGTTACATTTAAGAAATAGAAAACATTTTCCAATTTTCTGTAGAGTTATATAAACACGCGTTGCAGGTTACTGTTGCAGGTTCGCTACCTGCAACAGTAATACAGTTATGTACGAGTAATATTTTATAAATGTTAAATAATTATGCTTTGCTGTTTCCATTAGCCATTAATTAGATCATGCTAAAATGTTCAAAGTGGAAGTTATTATATGATACATTGTACTGTAAAGCACCTTGTGAATCAACCATATTCAATGTTTTTAAACATCCATGATTCTGCTGAAATTACAATCGAATACGAAATACTCTAAAAAAGAGAATTTACAAGTCCGAAATGAGTATTAGACTATGGAAATGCTTTAAACTTGCAAAATTATTCACTTCTATTCATTTGGATGCTTATTTGGGGAATAAAATTATTTTCAACTTACAAACAGTAAAAGAATAGACTGGCTTGCTACATTTCACATCCAATTGAAATCATTGAATCATATCAAATGAAGATAAGTATAGTCAAACAACGTAGTATAGCTATCTATACTACAATTACTAATATTAAAATAATTAAATGACTATTGCATGGAAAATTTTTACAGAAATGAGCAGCTAGTGTATAACACAAGTTAAAGTGGATGTAAAATCAATAAACTCACCTAAGAAAATCTAAAGCTTTAGACATGACGTTTTCGAATTCGGCAAAAGATAGTTGATCGTCTCCATCTAAATCTGCTTCATGTAATATCTAAATAACAATATGGTAAATAAGTATAAGACAGCTATTTTTTTCATAACTGCTTGAAACTTTCAGCTGTGTAATCATAGTAATATAATAACAAAACAATATGGTGTGCATATTTTTAATGATTTTATGCAATTCTTTTAATACATATGAAACATGAAAAAATCTTTACTTTGAGAAGTGCACATCTCTCCTAACCTCGTCTTTTTACTTAGTTTGTATGCATGGTAAGGACAACACACAGGGACGGGTTTAGGAGAGAACTGCACACCTTTCCTACCCTCGTCTTTTACTTAGTTTGTATGCATGGTAAGGACAACACACAGGGAAGAGTTTAGGAGAGAAGTGCACACCTTTCCTAACCTCGTCTTTTTATTTAGTTTGTATGCATGGCAAGGACAACACATAGGGACGGGTTTAGGAGAGAAGTGCAAACCTCTCCAAGCCTCGTCTTTTTACTTAGTTTGTATGCATGGCAAGGACAACACTTAGGGACGAGTTTAGAGAGAAGTGCACACCTTTCCTAGCCTCGTCTTTTTATTTAGTTTGTATGCATTGTAAGGACAACCAATAGGGACGGGTTTTGGAGAAGTGCACACCTTTCCTAACCTCGTCTTTTTACTTAGTTTGTATGCATGATAAGGACAATAAACAGGAAAGGAATAAGGGAGAAGTGCAAACCTCTCCTAGCCTGATCTAGAGAGAATGCAAGATGGGTGCGAATTTTCAAACGAAAAATTAACACACTAAAAAATTATGCAAACGTTATTGAGATAAACGAACACACTTCCCTAAATTTTACGCACCTGTTTAACGGAAGCTTCTCTCAATATTTTCTTTGACAACATTTAACACAGTCCAGATATCAATCTTCTGCTTTACAGTCAGTGTGTTTTAGATACCCCGTAAGGAAAAACCAAATGGGACAGCTCGTTTTAGCGCAACGGTCGAGTTGGATTTCGTTGTTATCGTCATTTTTCCGATTGAGATTCGGAGCCAGAACTATTCTAAAAGGAATTTTTAATAAAATAGGGTTTAAAAGAAAAAATGAAAGTGATGATATAAAATTTACAGTTACTTAAAACGCAAATTACTACAGGGAAAAAAGATTGACGTAACATAGAAATCTCTACATAACAAAACAGAAAACCGCTGTGCACAAATTATAAGGATGCATAACTAGCCTCTTTCTCGGGTAACTCATTCCAACTTTCATAAAGACGGTCAGTTGAACTTCTGCAGCCACTACGTGTACACTTTTCTTAGGCTTTATCTCCTGCTCTACCTTTAATTTTACATGGGGCGTACATGGTACATTAACAGTTTTACAATTGTAAATTGGCGATACTTCCCACAACGGTTGATCCAGTAAAGTTTTACTGTGGAATCCAACCAGCAATGGACAGAGGTTACGACTCCTTCACTAATGGCACACTTTACATTCGATAGCAAGTTAACGGCCATGTGTACAGCAACCAATTCCAAGCGAGGTATTGACAGATCCCGTTTTGTCAACCTGGATATTGCACATACCAATCGTTCGGTTATTTCATTCTCCTGCTCAACAACTGAATATACTGCTGCTGACCTCAACTTTGCTTGCATGGCCAAAGGCATGAAAGGGAACGGCAGAAACAGTTGTTCATGCGGTGGAAGTCCCGAATACCAATCATCCTAGCGTTTATTTATGATATCGGGCAATTCAAAATCCCATGAACAACGAGCTTCGCACAGCAAAGTGCTTTTAAAAGAGCCATTCAATACAAAAATAATGTATAAAAAAGAAATATTGATTCACTAGCGTAACGTTTCGTCTTGACTCTCAAGGTTTCACCAGACAGTAGTAAATTACAAGTAATGAGGGATTTATATAAAATAGTTATTTATATAATATTAAATTACATGGTGGGATGAAAAACATGACCCCCAATAGCAAAGCCAGCACGTTTTCACTGCTACAATGTAAATATTTTTGTGTTCAATCACCGGAAGACAATAAAATGAACCAATTTTGTAAAGATATCGAAATATTTGAATTGTGGGAGTAAAAGATCAGGCTAATTTCGTCACTGATTACCTCCATCATAATTTCTCTAAGGATTTCATTTTTTCATGATGGCAGTCCTTCACAAGATTAGAAGGGCCAAGGCCTCCTTCTTCTCAGCCTTACTCTCAATCAATCCTTTGTAAATCCCTTGCCACAGTATTAATATCATAAATGTTACTTACGAGCATAGATCTTACCGTGTTGTTTCAAGTTACTCTTCTTATTAAACGTTTTACCAAAATGTTCACATTGATAAGGTTTTTCTTGTGTGTATCCTCATGTGTCTTTTAAAACTATTAGACTTATTAAATCTCTTACCACAATGTTCACATTGATAAGGTTTCTCTCCAGTATGTATCATTACGTGACTTTTTAAGTTACAAAGCTGTGTAAATGTTTTACCACAGTGTTGACATTGATAAGGTTTCTCTCCTGTATGTATCCTAAGGTGTTTATTCAAATCACAATTCTGTGAAAATGTTTTACCACAATCTTCACATTCATAAGGTTTCTCTCCTGTATGTATCCTAACGTGTCTATTCAAGGCACTATTGTGGGTAAATGTTTTACCACAATGTTCACATTGATAAGGTTTCTCTCCTGTATGTATCCTAAGGTGTTTATTCAAGGCACTATTGTGGGTAAATGTTTTACCACAATGTTCACATTTATAAGGTTTCTCTCCTGTATTTATCCTAAGGTGTTTATTCAAATCACAATTCTGTGAAAATGTTTTACCACAATGTTCACATTGATAAGGTTTCTCTCCTGTATGTATCCTAAGGTGTTTATTCAAGGCACTATTGTGGGTAAATGTTTTACCACAATGTTCACATTTATAAGGTTTCTCTCCTGTATTTATCCTAAGGTGTTTATTCAAATCACAATTCTGTGAAAATGTTTTACCACAATGTTCACATTTATAAGGTTTCTCTCCTGTATGTATCATACCATGACGTTTTAAGTTACCAAGCTGTGTAAATCTTTTACCACAATGTTCACATTTATAAGGTTTCTCTCCTGTATTTATCATACAATGACGTTTTAAGGTACCAAGCTGTGTAAATCTTTTACCACAATTTTCACATTGGTAAGGTTTGTCTCCTAACATGTTTATTCAATTTAGAAAGCTGTCTAAATGTTTTACCACAATGTTTGCAATGATAAGGTTTCTCTCCTGTTTGAACCCTCACATGTCGTTTTAATGGTGGATTTTTCCGCATTCATTTTCATGTGAACATTTAGATAGTCTTCAATACTGTACTTTCGACCACAACGTGGACATTCCCAGGATTCGTACAAACAAGCATTGGACATCGTTTTAAATGTTTCTCTAAATAATCGGGATAAGTATACATCCTTCCACAGTGTCTACAGCTGTGACCTCCAACTAAAAAGAAAAGTTAGAATTACATCACAGGATAAAGAACTGAATGATCATACATAATTATTCCATTGATGTACTTCAAAGCAATGAAATTTGTTTGAAAAAGTTCTCCATCGTTAAAACAACTGCATTGTTCACAATTTTAAAGCAAATATCAAATCACAGTAATGAACTGATGTTTAAAATATTCATGACTCTACACTAAAAGTAAAGTTTTAAATATCATGTAAATTTTTTATATCATGCGTAAATTTTTTATATCATGTGTTGCTACATACATAAGATTTAAATTTCATCCGCTGCTGCACAAGTCAGTTGCAACGGTTGCATCAGTAACTGGTCTAAACAACTCAATCCTACCAGTGATTTCTGCTAACATTTGCGGATCAAATCGTCTCTACAAGCGCGGCAACGTTCTTCTGGATTCTGGAGCTCAGATAAGTCTAATCCGCAGCGAAACGGCGGAGAGTCTCGGTATGAAAGGAAAGACATCTCCGTTAACATCATAAAAATAGGTGGAGAGGAAGAGTCAATCTGCACAAAGAGCTACAAAGTTCAAGTAAGCAGAATCGGAGAATCAAAGAAGTACACAATCACTGCAGTTGGAATACCATGTATCAGCGAGGATGTCAAAGGAATACCAGGAATGCAATCGAAAACGGACTACCAAAGGACAAGGTGAAGCGTGGAAAGCCAAGTCGACTTACTTGTTGGAATCGATCATGCATACATGCACACGGGTAAAACAAAGCAAGTCGAACATGTGGTCGCGAGAGAATCGCCACTCGGCTGGGTTCTGTTCGGATCATCAACGGGACAGTCAAACAATGCAACAACAACTGTATTACACGTGAGGTACCCAGAAGCAGTTGATTTATCAGAATTTTGGACAACCGAAGCCATGGGAGTAACAGTAAAGCCGTGCACCTGTGAAGCTGAAAAATTGAGCCAATCCGAAAGAGAAGAAAAGCAAGTGATTGAACAGTCTGCAAGAAAGGTTGGAAAGCAGTGGATGATTCCATATCCATGGAAGAAAACCCCCCAAGACTTACCAGATAACAGAATCCAGGCATTGAAACGACTAGAGTCAACTGAGCGTCGATTATTGAAAATTCCTACGCAAGCAGCAGCGTACAACAACAAGATGACAGAAATGGAAAACATGGGGTTTTCTCGAAAGTTATCCGAGAAGGAAGTTAAAGAACACAAAGAACCAGTCCATTACATCTCCCACCATGCAGTTCTAAGACCTGACAGTACAAGCACCCCGGTTCGTATCGTTTTCAACTCGTCCGCTACGTTCCGAGGACATAAGCTGAACGATTATTGGCAAAAGGGGCCTGATCTTCTGAACTCTCTATTCGGAGTTATTCTCCGTTTTAGGGAAAAAAGTTGCCCTCACTGCGGATATCTCAAAGATGTACCACCGAGTCCTTATCCCTGTCGAAGACCAGCAGGTACACCGATTCCTATGGAGGAATTTAGAGATTGATAGACCTCCGGACACTTTCGTTATGAACGTACTTACGTTCGGTGACAAACCTGCACCAGCGATGGCCCAAGTTGCCTTGCGGAAAACTGCAGATGAAGGAGCATCAGAGAACCGAGAGCAGCAAAAGTTATAAAGGACAATTCTTACATGGACGATATTCTGGATTCAGTTGCTACAAATGAAGAAGCAATCGGGTTGACTAAAGCAATCGACAGCATCTTTGATAATGGCGGGTTTCATGTGAAGGGATGGCAATCAAACGGAGAGTTGAACAGGAAAGACGAGCAAGAAGATGGTAATGAAGTTGATGTTCCTCATGGAAAACAAGAGTCAAAAGTGCTCGGCCTGGCCTGGAACAAGAAAGAGGATGTGCTTAAGTATAAAGTAAAAGTGAAAATATGCCACACCCAACAGCCAAAGTTCACAAAGAGGAAGATCCTAAGCCAAGTCGCTAGAATATATGACCCAATAGGCTTTGCAGCATCTTACCTTATAAGGGCAAAGATTGGTTTGCAGGAACTGTGGCAGCAAGGACTCGACTGGGACCTTTGACAATACAAATCTTGAGTCAATGACTGCTTTTCCATGTATCTCTGCAACATAGCCATCTATATATGACCTGATGACCTAAACATTTGTATTATTGTATTGAAATTTTAAAGTGTTGTATCAAAAGGGGTGATGATCGAGTCCTCACAGGATTCTTATTCATCATTGATTATTGCTTGCAATGAGTCACGTGAGAGTGCGCGCGATCCACAAGCAAGCACAGCCCTCGCACATTCAGCTGAGTTGTTGCTCAAACCCAATTCGGGTACAGCTGATTTGAATACAGGTAAACTGCTAACTATAAATATTGATGCTCTGGCATTGCTTGGTCATGCTACCCATCAATTGTCTATGCATCGGAGACAAGCTGTAAAACCTTGTTTAAATAAGGAATTAGCATCTATTTGCTCACCACAGGGACCAGTCACTGAGTTTCTATTTGGGCTCAAAGCATCCAATAACAACATCAAAGCATCCAATAAGATTGGAAAAGTGATGGCCTCATCACGGTCTTCAGGACAGCCTTTTAAAAGCAAAGAGTCTTGGAAACATCCATCCCCAAATGACTAAAGTTCTTTTTTGGGGGAAAGACGTGGGATGCAGGACCGTTCCCCATGGAGCAGGTAAGGCTATGGAGTCCAATTCAAGAAACAATGGAAAAAGACAAAAGCTTGAGTACACATGATATTGATCTATTTACCTCAAGGCTCAACTTTTGTGGTTTTTAAACCAGATACGAAAGCTTATGCCAATGAATTCGATATATCGTAGTCAAAGTATTAATTTTATGCATTTCCACGTTTTAGTATCTTTCCAAAAGTTTATAACAAATTCAAAAGACAAGGCAACAGGACTGCTTGTGATTCCGAACTGGCCGACTCAGTCTTGGCTGCCCAAAGTGATGAGAATGTTACTCCAGGAGCCAATTCAGCTGCCACTGGCAAAGCGTTTTTTGACTCAACCCTGCCAACCAAGCTTGGTTCATCCACTATAACCAAAGCTGGTTCTACTTCTATGTCTATTCTCGGGATGATTCTCCATGACCGCGGACTTTCAGGCCTGCCTGCAAAATTGGTCCTGCAGTCTTGAAGAGAAAGTACACAAAAACAATACGACCCGTATATCAAACGATGGCACCTATACTCTGGTGAAAAGCAAGTTCATACAATTTCGGCAACTCAAGAAAATGGAGTGAATTTTTTGTCAGGATTGTTCCAGACTGGTATTGGTTATAGTGTCCTTAATACGGTAAGAAGTGCGCTGTTGCCTAAATCGTCCTCCCTGAACTAAACCATACATATTACATATTTTAAAATGTAATCACTTAATCAACTTTCTTTTTTAAAATGGTTCTTCGGAATCCAAATTCGGAATCATTTTTTGAAGAAAGTTGCGGTTGGAAGTTGCAAGGAAATTGAGAATCGAAGGAAAAAATGTGAGTAGTAATGGATAATGTGTGCTTTTTTCAATAAATGCACGAATCATCCGTAAGTGTTCCTATTCTCTTTCTCTTTTTAAGAACTTCAAAAAGAGCGGAAACTACAAACCAGATGAAATGGTGAATACCGCCATATGAAACCGCTAACTTGCGGGCTCATACTGAGGTAACCGTTATGACAGTGATATTAGTAAACCCGTGATTTGGGTATTCCCGTACTTAAATCACTAGGGGTTTTGTGATTTAAGTATGGAGATATTACTCAGTTTTACTCAATGTTGTATGACGTGTAAAAAAAGTCTATTGTTGTTCCCTCAAGATCAAGGGAATCCACTGTAGGTAAACCTCTGAAACCAACGTAGTAACGGAACAAGCATAGGAAACCTTTATCATTAGTGATTTGTGAACGTTGGGTGGTCGGGTAGGGATACTTAAAGCACGGGAGCTATATTTGCTGGTGACGGTTAAACCTTCATGATTTAAGTACTGGGATACGCAAAACATGGGGATACTCATATCACTTTGACACAGTGATTGAGACATTTAACTAAAATACATCTGGAGCGATAACTTCTATAGTTTTGTCCCATGACTGGCTGAAGTCAAAAATACATCTAAATTTTGTCAAGCTCCCCCCTGAAGTAATGTGTGTTTTTTTCGGCGGCTGATGTTAGCTTTGCTTCTTGGCAGTGGAAAAACGTTGAAAAAATTGAAAAAAATTGATTTATTGTTGTTTTTTACACATTTGTGCTTTGAACTTGCACACATGCAAGTTCTTTGAACATGCCACAGCATGTGCTTTGAACATGCCACAGCAAGATATTTTTGAGGAGAAACATAATCATCAACAATGAAGGATGATCGATCGACAAATTAATACAACTCTACAAGACGGAACTGAATGTTAAATCATGACACACAATTTTTCCTCGTTTGCTGCCTGATGCGTGGCAAAACACTATTCTTGACATGACTCGACCCATTCCCCCAAGCGACCTATATACTGTTGAAATCTCGATTTGTGTCTGTGTGTTAACAATTCCGGGGGATTTTTACGGAATGAGGGGGAGCGCACAATCACAATAAAGTAGAACCTTTCGGAACTTCTGTAAGTTTCTGTTTGATTTTAAACGTCTGGAATCTGAATCGATATGAGGCATAAACAACGTAATACAGTAAGGCACTAAATTTGAGTGATCACTCATAACATTTAAGAAATAAAAGATGTTTACTGTGTTTGCACAGGCTTATGCAAACCGAGGATATCCCTGGGAAAACTCAAAAGCAGATCTGTGCAAGCCCGAGACCGAAGATCATGGGGACGCGGAGCTGGGGGAAATTTAGGTCCCGGATGAATGTAAACAAATATGCTTTTGCCAACTGCTTTCGTGTTTCGACATAGGCGGCCCATATTTCATGATTCATGTGCAATGCTTATCACGCGCGCTATCTCGCGTGACTTGCACGTATATATGGTCTTAAAGGTCTTATTTTTTGACAAGGTTTGCAACTTTCAACATAGGTGGCCCAAAAATCACTTTCAAATAGTTTAAAAAAGCGATAACTCTCCCCATTCCATCGTAACAGACCGTGCACCGCAAACTTTGTATAATTAATTATATATATATATTACATATTTACCAAATGTAGGCAACTATCATCGCAGTTACGAAGACATGCCTTTACATCAAGTAATAGTACGTAAAAAACAAACAAGAATTCCAAATAATAATTATATCACTAAAAATAGGATAATTTTTCTTCACTCAGCTTTGACAAAAGACGACAAAAATCCCCAAAAATATGCGTGAACTTTTTAACTTGTTTGTAAAATTTTTCTGTCTCCATGCTGGATGCCTCATATTGGTGCATACGCCATTATTTTAAAAAAGACTCTCAACTGCAATTGGCTAAAAAATTAAATCACGATCTAAGATTACGATGTATTCTATTTACCGAGCCAAAGATTCGAGCTCGGAATCAAAATTCAAATCGTAAATGAAATTAGTATCCAATTTGGAATCGAACTTAGAATTGATTTTGCCTTAAATATGTCAGATAATCTCGGATTGTTTTGCATATCTCTACTCGACCCTTCTCCCCTTGAGATAACAATTTCACAATACAGTATAATATAAAACAAATTTCGAAGAAGCAAGACTTCTTGAGATAGCAAAGTATGAATTAAAACAAGACGAGAAGTAAACTGTAAATTTTCGACTTTATTTCAAAGTCATCCTCAGACAGAATGATATTTTCAAAAGGATGAATTGAAATTGCCGACCCGACTGGTAGAATGAGTGTATTATAATTTATTAGAAGAGATGTAATTCTTTGCTAGAGTTCTGGGAGGTGGAGGGAGATCATTGAGTTGTGAGAACTGGTTTTGTAGAGTCGCCTGGAATTGAGCGTTTTCGCACTCAGAGAAATGCTGGCCAACTGCACTAGAAGAGAGTCTGGTTGCATGTTCTCTGAGCCGTATAGACAGGCATCTTTGTGTCATGCCGATGTAGGTTTTATCACAGCCAGGGCAAGTTATTTCGTATACAAGATTACTGCGAGAAAGTGAAGGAAGTTTGTCCTTGTTAGAGACAAAATAGGCGAGTTTTTTAGTGTCATAAATAGTAACAAATTTCACCGGTTGAGAAAGATGTCTTTGTATTTTCTTAAAACAGGACTTTAAGAGGAAATCGCCACGCATGCCAAGATAAGGAAAACGAATCCAGATTTTAGGTAGATTATCATCTATAGAAAAGCGGTTGTCAATGGGAATAGAATCATTGTATTTGTATTTTAGTTTTTTAAACAAAAAGTTTTCAACGCTGCTAGAATAATTGTTTCAAGACATGTAAGATTTGATTATTTTAATTTGATTGTTGAAAAGTGTTTTATTGCTACAAATTTTGAAGGCACGGTGGTAAAGAGATTTTACCCATGCAATTTTTCGATGAAAAGGTTCGAAGCTAGAGAAATGTGAGTACTGACCAGTGTGGGTGTCTTTTCGGTAAATTTCACTTCCATCAACCGAAATTTTTACATGTAGAAAATGAATTATGCCATCGTGAAATGTATCAACTGTGAATGTGTTCTTGCATGGAAAAGTACCGATCATATAATTGACTGATCAGCTAACCGGTGTATATGGCGCGCCGATACAGACAAAAATACTTCTTCTAAAGATCAAACTTCTATTTCAAATTTATTACTATGTTTGATATAAAATTATAGTACTTCTGAAAATTATTACTATGTTTGATATAAAATTATAGTACTTCTGAAAAGTTTAATACTTTATTGCTGCCTGCAGTACGCCACATGTTATTTTTTGTAAAACTTCATGTTGTCGAATTTCGATGTAAGTTGTAAGATGGCGGAAGACATTGAAATCCTCGATCGCGAGAACGGTGGAGTTAGTGATTTTATAAATATTCTGGAACATGGGAAAGAGTTGTATCAAGAAATAAAGCGAAGTATGTTTTCGGCTTCCTTTGTGGAGGCTGAACATCTTAATATGCAGACAGAACAATTTGTCACGACAATAGTTATTTCATTTGGCCATCTTCGCAATACTTTACTACAAGATGCAAATATGATTGAAACCATTGCTACTCTAATCAACATGTTTCAATGCCTTGTACGTCGGTTAATGGATCGTTTTGAAACATCTGTATATGATGACCTACAATATAATTGTCCTAACGTTTGCAGCGAAGGTCGAGGCCGTCCCCAGCTATTGATACCAAAAGAGCAATTAGAAGAGAGCAATTTTGTACAGAGGTGGAGAGTGCGTCAGTCGATTTGGAGAATCGATCCTGATAGCCGGATGTTGAGGTGCAGAAAAATAACAAAAAGAAGACTATACAATGTACCAACGCCAAATTCTTTATGGTGAGTAAAATTCTTGCTGGAGCAAGACTTTCAGGAAGCTTATACTTAATTTTGTTTCTTTCTAGGCATCTGGATGGCCAGCATAAACTAATAAGATGGCGAATTGTTATCCATGGTTGTGTAGATGGATACTCTCGTGCAGTTGTCTTTTAAAAGCTTCATGTAACAATAAAGCTTCCACTGTTCTTGATCTATTCCTTGATGCCACAACTAAGTTTCACTATCCACGTAGAATTAGAACAGATTATGGAACAGAAAATATTGCTGTGGCCAGGCATATGCTTAATCGTTATGGTCTGTCTAGCAAACCTGTTCTTACTGGACAATCCGTTCATAATCAGCGCATTGAGCGTCTTTGGCATGATGTTAACACCTATGTTGTTTCAATATATAAGAACATCTTCTATTACATGGAATCTAATGAATTGTTAAATCCAGACAATGAATTTCATTTGTTTGCTTTGCACTATATATTTTTGCCTCGTGTAAACAAGTCATTAAACATCTTTACAATGCAATGGAATAACGATTAAGTTATTCCAGTGCATTGTAAAGATGTTTAATGACTTGTTTACACGAGGCAAAAATATATAGTGCAAAGCTACTCAATGTTATTCAATGTCCAGTGAGCATGGACAATCACCTTTACAAAGTTATTCAATGTCCAGTGAGCATGGACAATCACCTTTACAACTTTGGACCAGAGGATTTTACCAAAATGCAATTTCAGATTACAGCACAGTCCAAGAAATGCTACATGAAAACTTAGTTGACTGTGAATATGGTGTTGTTGGAAACCAATTTAGCGAACATAACAAATCTTAGTTCCTTAACTTTTAACAAGAACAGTGCTAAAACAAGTCGAAATGTTTGAGTATCAAAGCAATGTCAAATTTTATAAAAACCGCATGAGTCAAATAAAGATCTTAGAAGAAGTTCCTCAAACATAGTTCGGTCTTCATGTCCTCTTGGTAGTGCAAGTGACATGGCACAAGTGGAAGAATATGGATACCTAGTTTGCCCATCTTCTTGATTATAAAATGTTATTGTTAAAGAATTTTCAAATCCAGTTGGTGGGATGGACTCTGAACCAGTCGTAAACTGTAACAAATGCTCAAAATGAACAATTATTGATTTTTCTTCAGTCTGGTAGAACATGTCATTGTCTAAAAAATAACACAAATTTTGGTGTAGAATTTCTTCATCAGAAGGTACAGCAATAATGCATCGCTGCAACTGGGCAACTGATGATAATGAAGACTTAAAAACAATTGTGACATAAATAAAATACACACCTTCAATTTTTTTCAAAAAGATTTCCCAACAATATATTGTTTCATCTTCTTTTATTCTGTTATTACTAACTTTTGGACTCCACTCAATTTTGCATATGGTAAATGAATAGAATACAATTTTAAGAGAAGTCATTGACACTAATGGTGATGTTATAGAGCAGTACTATGTGGTAACAGATTATGTCAAACAACTGGATTCACAGTAACCTTCAATGAATTTCTCAGATCCATGATATGTGAAAAAATTAGAAATTGAACAAAGAATTTCTAAATCTTAATTTCTCATATTGATATGGTGTTGACAATACATCTTAATTAAAAAGGAAATAGACATGGACTGTGTGTTTATTCCAATTATAAGGTAAATGAAAGAATCATTTATAACGCATGTTTCTGAATTACCAAACAAAACAAAATTTATCATGAAAATATGTGAGCAACTAGTAATATCTAATCTAAAATCCACTTTAAATGTCAATGACAACCACCATAAAATGATAATCTATTTTCTTTTTCAATAAACAATGTAAACAAAAGGCATTTCAATGAAAAAACTACAATTGTCAAAACACCGAGCGCAACACAAAAAATATAATTGGGAAAACAATAACTCTTTGAAGAAAACTCATAATTAACTCAATATATATTCCAATAAAATTTTAGTGCATAATATGGGTTCATTGTTGTAAAGAAGCACTCTTGTTGTAAGTTATTTCTTGCAAAATCAAGAAAAAAGAAACTGTCAAAATTGTAAAATCTGCAACTGGTACAAGATTTTGAGTTTGACTTCATCCTCAGACATTTCATCATCGACTGCCACGGCTGACTCAGCAAACCATTTGCATAAAGGTACTCCCTAAAACGACCTCAGGGCACAGTCTGCACCTGGGGACCTGGAAGTAAAATAAAGTCCTTGAGCAGGTACTTCAACTTTACTTCAGTTGGTTTTCTTTTTGTATGACTACATGATGAAGATGAAGAGGAGCCATATCGTTTAAAGCCTTTCTTTGGTACGTAGTTAGCTTTTGGATTATATCCATAAGTTAATTCACTTTGACGACTAGATGAAGCAGCACTTATGCTTGGAAATAAATTACCAAGAGCTTCCTCTGTTGATATTTTTGAATCTTCTTTCTTCATATTTTCTTCAACAGAAGGGTTTTCTTTTATGGCTTTAACCGCCACGATTAGTTTGTCTATCATTTTGTCCGCCATCTTACAACTTACATCGAAATTCGACAACATGAAGTTTTGCAAAAAATAACATGTGGCGTACTGCAGGCAGCAATAAAGTATTAAACTTTTCAGAAGTACTATAATTTTAAATATAACATAGTAATAATTTTCAGAAGTACTATAATTTTATATCAAACATAGTAATAAATTTGAAATAGAAGTTTGATCTTTAGAAGAAGTATTTTTGTCTGTATCGGCGCGCCATAGGTGTAGAAGTCTCAACGCTTTCCTAGTCTGACTGTTCCCCGATTGTCTACGCCCAATTGTCTACGCATGCGCTAGTCAGTAAGTCAGTCGTACACATTGCCATTGCTAAGCAATTTTGTGATGAATATATATTTCATTATTTGTTCAGGCTATTTGTATTGAAATCAGGTATGTAATTGCATTTCTTTTCATGTATGTTATGCTAAAACCTTCTTTTGTATTTGTGCTGCGATTAGGGATAAAAAACCTTAAAAAATGATCAAAACATTCGCACAGAAATTCACGAGAATTTGCCTATGAAACAGTCTGTGTTGACCATGTTGGAAGAATCCTTCTACCCTTTCTTGAATCCCTCAGTTTTGACATTTTTGTATTTATATGTAACGAATTTAACGAGGAAGTTTGAAGTATCAAATTGTGCTTTCGGTTTGGTTATAATATGCGACAACAGAAGAAAGGATATGCCTTCCTTGCTTTACTAATTGAAACTTTTTGCCCGTAAGCAACTATTTTTACAGTGAAATATGTAGAATGTAAAATTTATCAATGTAGTTATGTCTAAAGACAAACTCGTTAATTGTTATCGGTACTGAATTTGATAGCGACTTACTTCTCAAACCGAATTGCTTAACGCGCGCGTGCACCACATGGTAAAAATGACGTCCAATTCACAGAAAAATGTTGAAAATTTCACATGGACAAATGGGGGAATTGAACTTTTATCGGACGTCGTAAAGGTGCTATGTATCCGAGTGGCATTACAAATGTACTGACTTGGAAAAAGTTAAAGTTAGGTACGATTAATTAATAGGCGTCGTGCCGTCATCTGTCGTCTTCTGTTGTCGCATATTATAACCAAACCGAAAGCACAATTTGATACTTCAAACTTCCTCGTTAAATTCGTTACATATAAATACAAAAATGTCAAAACTAAGGGATTCAAGAAAGGGTAGAGGGATTCTTAAACTACAACGACACGTATCAAATGGCTTTTTGTATCACCTCCATAGCGGAGTGATTTTGGCTCCGCGGAGCGTAAAGGATTGCAAGCGTCATTAATTATTTTAATTCCAGAAGTGTTTGCGAATTCCCAAATACCTCACAAAAAACTAAACATATTGTAAAAAAATCAAATCATTAGATATAGCCCATAAAATGAACAGTCTGCCGGTATGAATGTTCTTGCTTTGGAAGATTTGAAAGCAAACACAATAGCAATTTCTTTGATTGCATTATGCCTAACTCAAAATACAATAAAGAATTTGCCAAAGTTACTCACAATTTTGAGACGTTTGTGCTTGATATGAAGAAACAGAGTAAACCATTAAATTCACTCAATTTTTTACATGTTCATAATATTTCAGTCTATCACAATACAATGCGCACTTTGTTTGCGAAAGTAAATTGCATTAAAATTCCGTTACCATGACATCATATTAAAAGGGTCTCACAAATATAGGGACATATGTCCCCAGTTTTTACCTGCTAGCCGGGAGAGAGAACAGCAGCAGCGCTCCAATCTGGCATGAGAATCACTAAGCAGTATAATATAATCTGGGTCCTAATTAAACAGACGCATAGACTGGCCGCTAAATGTCACAAAATGATCACGCAACACGAACATACATGAAGTAAAACACGAGCCAGTAGGATGCGACTAAAACATACATTTTTAGTATTATTAAGTAACATACGAAACATAATACATAGTAACATACAGATATTCAGGTAATTTAGTAACATTGAGTACATACGATGATTACTTCATTTTTTTGTCAACAAATGATTTCTCAATACATTGATATTTGCTTTATTTTTCCTTGTATTTGTGTGGACTTTCTTTGATGGATTTAAATGCTGAAAAGGTATTTTACTTTTATACTACATTCATTTGTATGTTTTAATTGAATATGTTATAGATAATTTGTCGATGCGATTTGCCAGTATTTGAGCGCTTTTTGAAACACTTTCACCTAGGAAATACATATTTATGAAAGCGATTAAATAAACAACGTATAAATAATGCTTTCAAAACGTGCTACATGAAATAAATGTACATTATATATATTTGAATTAAATGAGAGTTGCACTGTTACGTATAGTCCTGAGACGGACTGTTTTGTTGTTGTTGACTGATCGCTTCGACAACCTTAGCGGTAGACATCTTTAAGTCGAATGTATAATCGCCATAAATATGTATTTCCTAGGTGAAAGTGCTTCAAAAAGCCAAATACTGGCAAATCGCATCGACAAAATATCTATAACAAATTCAACTAAAACATACAAATGAATGTAGTATGAAAGTAAAATACCTTTCAGCATTTAAATCCATCAAATGGTTGCCCCAAAGTCCACACAAATACAAGGAAAATAAACGCAAATATCAATGTATTGAAGAAATTGTGTTGTTTCTCATTTGTTGACCAGAAAATAGTCGTGATGTCACTGTATGTACCGTATGTTACTGATGTATTGTATGTTACTCGTATGTACTTGTATGTTACGTGATGTATCGATGTTACTGATGTACTGTGATGTACCGCGGTGGTGTTTTAGTCACGATCCGGTAGCTGGGATTCAGCGAAGCGTTAAATCATTTTAGCAAATGGAAAAGATGAAATACTTCACAACAAAAAACTTATTTGAGCAATTTCTCTATGCTCTGACATTCCAAATTCAGAAAACCTTTAAAATGAAAACGAATAATTTAGCCTGATTAAAATGACTTATGACGCTTAAAAAAGTTGTAAGTTGTGCGCTAAAAGTTTTTACTTCTTTCAATGACTCAAAATCATTTCACGCTTCGCTGAATCCCGGTTACTGGGCCCATGTGAACAGCCCCTAACTGTAACAAATATAACAAAGTGTCATTTTTTATTTTTGTCATTTCTCAAAAAATGTTTACACATGTATAACTTGAACTTAAAAAAAGGTTGTTGCAGTTCCCGACGTTGAATTCATCAACTGTGTTGATTACAGTGTTTATATGCTAATAATGAAAGTTAACCATTTCTGATTGGGTGAATTTAGCGTTCATACTTTCCCTCCTCTTATATGTACAGTAGCTACTTGTTACACTGCTCTATTGGTATTTTATAAAACTTCTACTTAATAGTTTTCATTTGTTTATATGGCTTGATTGACCAATTAGGAATGTTGCTCATCATAACAAAGTGTAAAAATCACCTGGCTCGATTTTGCAACATTCATACTCCCCCATGTTTGGATAAGGCCATACAAATACTGAAATGGTTTAATCACTTGAACAAAGTGCATGTCCTAAGCCGGCATTCTTGTTCTATGAAGCTTGTCTTACTGACACTTTTTAAAATACAAGTTGTAGAAATGCTGTCATGTGAAGCTCCTGATGCTGAATGCATCACATCTTTAGCTTGTGTTAGAGAGACAAAAGAAGTTATTTCTTATATTATATTTTATACGTCTACATGTATATAGCAAAAAGATAGGATAAAATCCGAAATACGTCCGAAATTTAAGTTGAATAAAGAAAATGCAATGGAGATTGCCCCATTTCGCTTTATTACAAATCATAATCAGACAGAATGACAGGTAAAATCAGGCTGTTCGATTACGATATGTACAAACGGAGCTGTAAGTGTTAATTTTTGATTGATTATTTGCAAATTACAAGAAAATTAGCGCTGTTTTAATTGAAACAACGAGTTGAAAAGAAGAGTGCGGATACATTGCCTGGCCTACAGGTTTCAGAAAGTAGGTTTTTTTGTGAATAAAATAAAAAATTGTGTAATCATGTTGTGCTAAATGCATGAGCGAAGAGCTTTGTTTTGTTTCGTTTTAAAAAGGAAATCATCACAGGTGTATAAATTGTGTTTTGATGACAAATTTGTCTTTCAGAAGTTCCTGAAATGTTGAGTGAGAACGATATGCCCAAAATATATTCTGGTGATGAGGATTCTGATGAAGATGATTTTGATCCCAATTTCACCAGAGGATTTCTTGACGACTTTTACCGTATTCGCAAAGACGTCACTGAAAAATTAAAACAGTAAGTAAAAATCTACTCAAGACTGGTAAAATAATTTCTAAAAATGTTTACAAAGGTTTCTTCTCCAAGCATAAGATACATTCAGTTATATCTTGTATTTAAATTTAAAAAGACGTGAAGTATAGCTACGTAATTAGGCACAACAAACGTTTTGTGTAAAATATAGAATGAATTCAACCATTTCTCGCACTTATGATTCAAAGCAGTGACTGACGCGTGTTTAACTGTTCTGAAAAACGTTTCTTTATTTAATTTTTTTTTCTTTTAAAAATATGCGACTATGAAATTTTAATTGTTATACAAAGCTAAAATTTAGTAAAAGTCACACAGTTTACCGAAAATAAATGTCTTTTCCCACTTGATGTATGTTCTAAAGAAGGAATTATTGTTTTGTAGATTTTCTTGGATAAATGGATATTGCGGGATAACGTTCAACCCAGAAGCACGTTTATATGTGACTGTAGTAAAGGAGAGAGAAAATCATGAAGATTCTTTGAAGAATGAGATCAACGACAAATTTGGATGGAAAGCGTCTGATTATATTGATTTTCGTTATGCCGATAGCTCATTACCGACGTTTCGGTATTTGTCAAATTTGAAAGTAAAAGAAAATGAAGGTCGTAACCCTTTGAATGCAGTTGATGAAGATAGAGGTTCTTTTGGTACAGTGACAATGTTTTGTAGAAAGAATAGTCAAGACTAGTATTGAGTTGTGCGCATTGCATGACTGACCTAGTTTCAATCAACACGTCATGGAGATCGAAAATGATCAAATCCTTAAAATGTTCCAGCGTCACCTATTGGCAATAATTATTTTTATTTCTCCAAATGACCGTAATGTTTCATTAGGGAGGCACTTTGACTATAAATTTGATAATGAGCGAGTGAACGAGTTATCAATGAGGACAATCTTGAGCAGATATAAACATTGGTCGTCAAAACAAAACAAATATGGAAGCACAATCACTACACACTTGCAGAATAAAACAGGAAAAATTGAAGAATCACCACATTCATACGTCAAGCCGGGAAAGATTCATTTTGAGAATGCAATAATAGTTAAAAGCGATGATATTTTTCTTTGCAATGGTGATTCAGGGGTGCTGGTCTTTTTTTATGACGAAAAAACAAAACAAAATGTTCCTTTAGCATATGGGGTTCTTGAGGAGAGCAGTAAGAAATACGTATGTCTAAATCTAGACACTGCGTTGGAAGCCCTGAACAAAGGAAATTGTGATTGGTACAAGATTTGTGGGCCTCATCAGGCATCATTGTTATCATGTATAAATCCTCAATTATTATAAATTTTGTTGATTTTTTATATGAATATTTCATTATTTTCTTTTTCCTGCAAGTTTTGTTATCATAAGTAAAAGTATAGCTATTGTTGTTGCATTTTAGTATTTAGCTTACTACAGTCGTGTTTTATGTTTAGGAAATATAGTTATAGGGAAATGATAATTTAGGAAAGTAAATAATTTAGGAAAATAATAATAATTGTATGGTTATAGCTATTCTAGCACACAATTACAAAAACAGGAACGAAGATTTACGGTAAAAACTGTGCGCTTAACATCCTAAGCAACAGCTCCGTCACTGACTGTTGTAAACTGTAGTTTTTTTCATTTTTCAGTAACTGTAGTTGTTTTGATTTTGCATTTGAAGATCGTTTATTAAATTTAGCAAATAATTCAAACACACTCGTGAAGATAAGTCTCAATTCTTCAGATTATTTATTCTTTATTCATTGTGTTCTAATTATATTTTCCATCAACATACAAAGAAGCTATTTCCAATATTCAACCCTCTTGTTTTTACTTCGAGTTAAAAATTAAGAGTGATGATAAGGAATCTTTCTTTTTTTTGACGATGTCATTCATTAAGCTTTAATCCTTGTTTTAAGTTTAAAGTTTTTCGATAGCCGTGAACATTATGCATAGAAATGTTTCAGAGAAGTAATAAATATATATTTATAAGCAGGACAGATCTTCGATTTTAAAATTAAAAAGTAGCTATAAAGACCCGTTCACACAATCCGATTTGTCGCGTCCAATTGTTTCGGTTCCGACTTTTGATTGCTGGATGTTCTGCATGCTCTCAATCCATTTGATGTTCCTTATGGGAATTGCCAACTACAAAAAATTGGTTACAGCTATGTTTCTAAATTTGCTGCAACAACACAATTACAATTTAATAAGTTTTTATGTTAGTTTGAAGTCTGGCCTACGGTTATCAAGGCTTTTCGTGTTTCTGTTTGAATTTTGAGGAATTTTATTTGAAATTAAGACCTGGCAAAACAACTTAGATATTTATATCTTTATTTTTTTTATATTTATATTTATTCCAAGATACGACATTACTTAAGTGTTTTTCAGTGAGGACCTGCATTATAATATTTGAAAATATCTACAATACATCCTAACTCAATATAAAAGTTACAACTAAACTTTGCACTGTAGTCGACATTTATAATGAGAAATAGATTTTGCATTGTTAATGGTATTGTCCGAGTTAATACTCACGAAATTTATGACTTGACAAGAAAATCATTAAAATGGAACATTTTCAACAAAAGAAGGCAAACCTTAGGAAAACAAGAGAATAGATTTGCTAAAAATTCAGGCAATTTAATTGCCATACATACAGTAAGTTTAGACAGTTTCACAAAAACACTGATGAAGCTCAGAAACTGTGAAACAGCTTTGGACACACTGACGGATGTAATGTTAATAAAATAATATAACTTCAGAATAATAATTTAGCATTGTGCACGCTTACTATTATCTAGTATCTCTATCATTATTACATTCTATTTTTATTTGTATTCATTATGTTTTCTGTTGAACATAGCAACTATATCATATTTATAAAAAGGATATTAAATCATACTTTGTAATTTAGTTTTTAAGCAGTAAACAGCTTGTGTAGAAAGATTGATATTGTAACAGAGATTGGGACGTTGAGACTATTGAGCAATATACAAGAGAAACCTAATGCTGAAAATAGTTGCCAGTTTGTAGCAGGACTTACAAGGTTATTCCTTTCATTTCCAATGTAATTTGCCCAACATTGTTTATTCCATACCTCTATGAACACCAAAATATCAACTAATTTCTATGAGAAAATGGCCATATCTCCAAAGTCCCATCTGGGCGAATTAGTTTGTTATCGTGGCAGATTTAACATAATCAATTACAAGCTGGTAGTGGTAGTTTTTACAACAGAGATGACAAGATGAATAATTGCATGTCTAAGCAAATACTATAAATTGGCACGAGGAAAGTCCAAACAAAGTTATTGCGACCACCAATCTCATTATGTACATGCACTATAACTTTGTTCACGATCTGGCAACACTGGTTGAGTGCTAAACTTCTCCGGAGCTTCGTTATTACATACTTAACATGCGAACTTTGCAAACGGATTTTGAAGCAGTCTTGCGATGGGATGCTCGTGCGAGCCGAGATTTTTTAGAAAATGCTTGTCTTTTGTATTTGCGATATTTGAAACTTTTTATGTAAAATATCCTGACTGCCAGAACTGCCAAAGCAATAATTGGAGAGAATATTTTGCTAAAGAATCATGGGGTCACACGTGGTGCTCGTCCAATTTTACGAAACCATGATTGGTCAAAAACGAAAATTGTAAACAAACACAAATAGAATTCTGATTGGTTTAATCATAACTCGCCAAACTGGAACGAAACAGGATTTGTGGGACATATTATGTCAATTGTCACTTAGAGGTCGGTCGTAGACATCGCTTATCGATATTGATTTCGTGAAATATTTCATAATTTTTTCAGGTTATTTATATTGGACTCAGGTATGTAATTATATTTCTATTCTATGTCATCCTAAATCCTACTTTTGTATCTCTTTTGCGATTGGCGATAAAAATTAAGCCTGAACAAATGATCAAAACATTAGCAGAGAAATTCGCGAGAAATTGCTTGGGAAACAGTCTGTGTTGGATATGTTGGAAGATAAATCCTTCTACCCTTTCTTGAATCCCTCAGTTTTGACATTTTTGTATTTATATGTAACGAATTTAACGAGGAAGTTTGAAGTATCAAATTGTGCTTTCGGTTTGGTTATACTAGTAATATGCGACAAAAAATTGAAGGAAATGCTTTCCATGCAATGCTACGTAATTGTGTTTTAAAACCTTTTGCGCGTAAACATCAACGATTTTCACAGCGAAATATGTAGAATGTAGTATTTATCTGTGTAGTCATGTCTACAGATGATTTCTAAGCATTTATTATCGACATTGAATATGTTTGCGGATGTCGATTTGTATGCTTGAAGTATAGATTATTTCTCTTTTAGGTTAGCTGAACATGTAAAATGAGTGTTTTATAACTCTAAATTTTAATTAATAAGGATATTTACCGAGGTAAAAACGCTAAGTTCTTTAAAATACCATTAAATAACATATGAACAAAAGCTTTGATGGTATAGACATCAATAATTGGACTTGAATTTGAATTACTACCGTGAAATTGGCACCACATTGGGAACACATCACATTCAACTAAAATTTATCATTCAAAATGAGAAATCGAAAAATCGTCTTTAAAAGTCGTCATTGCTAAACAAAGGCCTGTAAATAAAAAACTACACGGTAGAATTTTTTTAAACTTGGCCATATTGTAGATATTCTTATTGTCTATAACCTATCCAAAATCTGGAGAGTGCACAAAAATATAAAAGGAATAATATTCCTTGAGAATGTACTCTGGTATAAACTGATTTTGCATATGTAATAGACAGTAAGAATATCTACAATATGGCCAAGTTTAAAAAAATTCTACCGTGTAGTTTTTTATTTACAGGCCTTTGTTTAGTAATGACTTGAAATTCTCAACTTAATTATATAAGCTCATACTACGCTCATTCGTGTCATCTAACTATGTCGATTGTTTTATACAACTTATTTTTTTGAACCCTGTCCAGATTTTGGATATGTTTAAAAAAATTCTACCGTTTATTTTTTAAATTATAGGCTAATTAAGAGAAATGGAAAGTACACTCTAATATAAATCTTTGTGTTTTCCTCAATTTCTTGACTTTTATACATTTTTTGTGATGTTTAAGAACAGTAAAATAGTAATAAACAGTTAAGAATTGTTTTTTACTGTTTTATTTGATGGAAAACGTGTTTTAAAGACGATTTTTCGATTTATCATTTTGAATGATAAATTTTTGTTGAATGTGGTGATGATTGTTGTGATGAATGTTGTGTTGATTGTGGTGCCCAATGTCTTGCCAATTTCACGGTAGTATTTGAATTTATATTTGTATTCATTAAACGTGAACTTTTTTTGTAACAGATATGGTTAAATTACAAAGGTTTTAATTAATAAAAAACCATATAACTAATACTATAAGTACATATTTTTATACAAACAATATTACATAGCTATTCCTTATAATTCATACTACCAATAAAACAATTTAAACTAGTATCTACTTACTTCAATTCAAACTTAGTGTTAAAAAGACATTTTTAAAATGTTCAGTATTAAAGCAAGAATGTTTGTAAGATCCACAACTTCTCAGATCACCATGAAGAGGTATTCTCTTTGATGAAAGATCATGGACAGCATGTAGACTTGCATTATTTATTATGGCTAGCTTTTAAATTTGCTATCACTGGTTTTAATGTGCATAAAAGGAAGACTACATTTGTATATATTTAGAACATCATGAATGAATATTTATTTTTATAGCAAATAATGTTTGCCCCTTTTAAGTGACGAGCTGTCAAACATCACTGAATCATTATTCTGCTTAATGGCCCCTGCAATGAGAGACAAAATGTAAATCTGTAATCATTCAACGATACAAGTCATCATTTTAGAAACAATTCGAAATATATATGCAAAGAAGATTATGATTGATACATTATGCAACATATAGGTATTAGAGAAAGAAGTTTTGCCAATATTTTGGCTTTGTTGTTGACAAAACTTTACATATTTATGGGTTTGGGAAAATTTAGCAATGTTATTTGGGTGAATTTAGCTTTCATACTTCCAGTTAATTATATATTACTTGCAACACTATCCTTCTGGGTTTTTTTTATTTTATAAAACTACAACTAAAGGGTTTTGATTTGTTTAAATGGCCTGATTGACCAATTAGGAAAGTTGCTCATCATAACAAAAGCATAAAAATCACATGGCTCAATTTTGCAACATTCATGCTTCCCTATGTTTGGATAAGGCCATACAAATACTGAAATGGTTTAATCACTTGTGCAAAGTGTACGCCTTAGTTTGCGTCTTGTTCTATGAATCTTGTCTTACTGACACTTTTTAAAATATAAGTTGTAGAAATGCTGTCATGTGAAGCTCCTGATGCTGAATGCATCACATCTTTAGCTGGTTTTATAAAGGCAAAAGAAGGTATTTCTTATATTTTATTTTATCCGTAATTATCTTGCACAAATATGTTCTTATGAACAAGATACAATACTGCTATTGTTTTATTTTGCTTTATTTTAAATCATAATCAGTTAGAATGACATGTAGCTACAACCAGCCTGTTAGATATGTACACAGAGTTACAGGTGCATTTAATTACTTCACGATAATTTGTAATGTAATTAGTAAAAAATCAGTTTTAAATGTAACGATAAGTTAAAAAAAGAGTGTGATTTTCTTGCTTTGTTTAAGTTTTTAAGTTTTTTAATAAAATGGTTAAAAAATGTAAAGTCATCGTTTTTGCATGATAATTGCAAAAATATGGTACTCTGCCAATATCACAGAAATAAGTACATTTACGTACAAAATGGGACGGGGCGGGTTGCTGAATGGTTAATTGCGTGAGTTGCAAGCCAGACGGCGCGGGGTTCAATCCCGGCTCGTGGCACATCTGGCAATGTGTCTGTAAACCTAGCCCGGGTTGACCAAAGCCATGTGAGGGAAATTTGGTAGAGGAAACTATGTCCTCGGATGGACTGTATCTGCATCTGCAATGTTGCAGCCTTGTCACAATGTGTCACGCTGATATCAGCGTTGTAGTTGCGTGAAAGGTACGAGTGATTGTAGTCTGGTCAGCTGCCTTCACTATAATTTAAGTAACCAGGATGTTCCACTTCGTGGAACCCTCATATGTCGAAATCGACGGAGTCCATTATAATTTTTTGTGAGGCAAGTTCGTTTTTTCAGGCGCAGGTTACTGCACCAATCACAGGCGTATAAACTATGTTTTAACAACAAATTTGTCTTTCAGATGTTCCTGAAATGTTGAGTGAGAACGATATGTCCAAAATATATTCTGATGATGAAGATTCTGATGAAGATGATTTTGATCATAATTTCACCAGAGGATTTCTTGACGACTTTTACCGTATTCGCAAAGACGTCACTGAAAAATTAAAACAGTAAGTAAAAATCCACTTGAGACTTGTAAATAATTTTTAAAAATGCTTGCAAAGGTTTCTTGTCCAAGCATAAGATACATTCAATTATAAGTTGTATTTACATTTAAAAAGTCGTGAAGTATAGCTACGTAATTAGGCACGACAAACGTTTTCTGTAAAATATAGAATGAATTCAACCATTTCTCGCACTCATGATTCAAAGCAATGACTGACGCGTGTTTAATTGTTCTGAAAAACGTTTTTTTATTAAGTTTTTTGCTTTTAAAAACATGCGAATATGAAATTTCAATTGTTATACTACGCTATATTTTAGTGAAAATCACACAGTTTGCCAAAAATAAATGTCTTTCCTACTTGATGTATGTTCTAAATAAAGAATTATTGTTTTGTAGATTTTCTTGGATAAATGGATATTGCGGGATAACATTCAACCCAGAACCACATTTGTATGTGACTGTAGTAAAGGAGAGAAAAAATGATGAAGATTCTTTGAAGAATGAGATCAACGACAAATTTGGTTGGAAAGCGTCTGATTATATTGATTTTCGTTATGCCGATAGCTCATTACCGACGTTTCGATATTTGTCAAATCAAGGTAAAACAAAGTAAATGTCATAATCCTATGAATGTAGGTTATGAAGGTTACTCTGGTACAGTGACAATGGTTTGCAGAAAGAATCGTTAAGAATCTACAGTACCGACCTCGAGTAACATGACTTGACTCGCGAGTATCGAATGGCGAGTGGGCGAGTCAATTGCGAGTCACTCGAGAGTGACGAGTTGTGATTGAGCGAGTGTGAGAGTTTGCAAGTGAATAAGTGACTCGCTGTTTGCGACTGAATAAAATAACTCGCAAAAATTTCATTCTTTAGGTTCTTAAGTGTAGTGACAAGTAAAATTCGTTCAACATTTTGAAGGCAACGGTTTTATATCTTTTTATGAAACATGGGAGCAAAACGACTATTCATTTGATGCAATATCTCGGACCTAATGACAAAGGCCATAAACATTGAATAGCAAGAACGATATAAAACCACGTGCATAGGAAAACCATGTGTATAGGAAGGCCTTTATATCAATAGCGACTACATCCAAAACTCCAGGTCAACGAAGTTCTTTCAGAATCGAATTCAAAAGATTATACGTACACTTGTCGCATCATAGCTACATTTCTTAAATATTTGGCTTTAAAGAATATTCGTTTTTTAATGCATTCTTTCCTAAGATTATATGTGTCCATAATCTAAGACTTTTAGAAGAAAATAATTGAGCGCTATTTAGATTTACTCATTGATTGCGTGCCGTTTACTTTACATTTCTATGGTCTCTACCGCTTTACGAATAACGTTTCTGGCTTTGTGCCATGAAAATGTAAAGTGATTAAAATACTTTTGTAAAAAAATTCAAAAGATTTTAACGTCATTATGGCCCGAGTTATTGCTTCAAATGATTAGTCGTTTTGCTCCCATGTTTCATAGAAAGATATAAAACCGTTGCCTTCAAAATGTTGAACGAATTTTTCTTGTCACTACACTTAAGATTATGTTTGTCGATTTCAAATACTGGAGAAAGAAATTCTTGCGAGTTATTTATTCACTCGGAAACAGCGAGCACTTATTCACTCGCAAACTTCTCACACTCGAGAGTGACTCGCAACTGCATCGCGAGTGAGTCGCTCAATCGCAACTCGTCCCTCTCGAGTGACTCGCGAGTCACTCGCCATTCGATACTCGCGAGTCAAGTCATGTTACTCGAGGTCGGTACTGAATGTACATATGCTTTACGAGAGTTTAAATCTTAATGGGACTGAACCAAACCTGTTCACGATATTATTAATATTCTAGATAACATACCTGCGTTTTACTCGTTGAACTATGATACATGAAACACTAGCTGTAGTAGATAATCCTAATAACCAAACGAAGTTAAATTTTACATCCAAACACGCGAGATTTTATCCCAGACGCGCGTCTTTGTTTGTTTAACGATTCTGTCTCGGCGAGTGAATTGTTTTAACTGCTGCTTTTTTGTAGAGAAAATTACAAAGCAACCGGTGTTGATTCAAAAAAGTATGAAAAACAAAAAAGGTGTTTCGGGGGTATAGTTTTTATTAAAATGCGAAACTACAACAACATTTATATGTTTGATGTGTTTTTCTTGCTATACTATCAGCCAAACAAATGTTCAATGTCTTCGTAAAATATCTTTTACATACACTTTTGCTTGTTTTTTTTAGCGAGCATGTTTAATCGTTTACGTGTTTTTCTTTCTTGGTTTTGACTGTTCTTCCTTGAGTGAACAAATATTTATCGTTAGCAGTGTTTCACACATTGTTAACGACAAATATTTCTTACTGCTGGCAGCGTTGCATGTATTTTAGTTCAACGGTATTACTAAGATAAAATATTATTATTTGTAAATTGCATATTTTAAAAAGAGATAACCAAAGTACAATTATACAAACGAACTTATATAAATCATAATTTGGCATCATATGGTAACTACCAGGTAGAACCCAGGAAATGATAAAAAAGTAGCTTTACGTAAAAAGGAAACATGAAGTGATATGTAGCGAACCGAAGAAGATACGTGTTTTTTTTAGTAGGGTAAAAAAATGAAATTTGGCCAATAGATCTCAGGCCTTTTATTATGTTCAACCATTGAGACAGTATACTAAATATACAGTACAGCCATTCTATTGAATTTTTTCGTGTCGCGCATGTGATTACCAAAATGACACAATAGGAATTATGAAATAACTAACGACAGCCAGTAATCTAATTAAATAAACAGAAAGTTTCACAGCGAACTGGACGTACTGTATATTTCCTGTACTGTGCCAGTGAACCAAAAAATTGAAAGTCTACGTCTGTGGAAGTTTTTATGCCACTAGAGCCCAGTCTTCGCACGCAATGTAAGCATGATGGAAACGAAAATTCTTAAAAATGATCTTTGAAGAACATAAACTTAAATTTTCTTGTCATAACTTGAACACAAAATTTACAAACTTTAATATTACATCGAACGTTTTACATATTTGACAATCAAAGCATTTTCGTGGCAAGTTCGTTTTTTCAGGCGCAGGTTACTGCACCAATCACAGGCGTATAAACTATGTTTTAACAACAAATTTGTCTTTCAGATGTTCCTGAAATGTTGAGTGAGAACGATATGTCCAAAATATATTCTGATGATGAAGATTCTGATGAAGATGATTTTGATCATAATTTCACCAGAGGATTTCTTGACGACTTTTACCGTATTCGCAAAGACGTCACTGAAAAATTAAAACAGTAAGTAAAAATCCACTTGAGACTTGTAAATAATTTTTAAAAATGCTTGCAAAGGTTTCTTGTCCAAGCATAAGATACATTCAATTATAAGTTGTATTTACATTTAAAAAGACGTGAAGTATAGCTACGTAATTAGGCACGACAAACGTTTTCTGTAAAATATAGAATGAATTCAACCATTTCTCGCACTCATGATTCAAAGCAATGACTGACGCGTGTTTAATTGTTCTGAAAAACGTTTTTTTATTAAGTTTTTTGCTTTTAAAAACATGCGAATATGAAATTTCAATTGTTATACTACGCTATATTTTAGTAAAAATCACACAGTTTACCAAAAATAAATGTCTTTCCTACTTGATGTATGTTCTAAATAAAGAATTATTGTTTTGTAGATTTTCTTGGATAAATGGATATTGCGGGATAACATTCAACCCAGAACCACATTTGTATGTGACTGTAGTAAAGGAGAGAAAAAATGATGAAGATTCTTTGAAGAATGAGATCAACGACAAATTTGGTTGGAAAGCGTCTGATTATATTGATTTTCGTTATGCCGATAGCTCATTACCGACGTTTCGATATTTGTCAAATCAAGGTAAAACAAAGTAAATGTCATAATCCTATGAATGTAGGTTATGAAGGTTACTCTGGTACAGTGACAATGGTTTGCAGAAAGAATCGTTAAGAATCTACAGTACCGACCTCGAGTAACATGACTTGACTCGCGAGTATCGAATGGCGAGTGGGCGAGTCAATTGCGAGTCACTCGAGAGTGACGAGTTGTGATTGAGTGAGTTTGCAAGTGAATAAGTGACTCGCTGTTTGCGACTGAATAAAATAACTCGCAAAAATTTCATTCTCCAGGTTCTTAAGTGTAGTGACAAGTAAAATTCGTTCAACATTTTGAAGGCAACGGTTTTATATCTTTTTATGAAACATTGGAGCAAAACGACTATTCATTTGATGCAATATCTCGGACCTAATGACAAAGGCCATAAACATTGAATAGCAAGAACGATATAAAACCACGTGCATAGGAAAACCATGTGTATAGGAAGGCCTTTATATCAATAGCGACTACATCCAAAACTCCAGGTCAACGAAGTTCTTTCAGAATCGAATTCAAAAGATTATACGTACACTTGTCGCATCATAGCTACATTTCTTAAATATTTGGCTTTAAAGAATATTCGTTTTTTAATGCATTCTTTCCTAAGATTATATGTGTCCATAATCTAAGACTTTTAGAAGAAAATAATTGAGCGCTATTTAGATTTACTCATTGATTGCGTGCCGTTTACTTTACATTTCTCTATGGTCTCTACCGCTTTACGAGTAACGTTTCTGGCTTTGTGCCATGAAAAATGTAAAGTGATTAAAATACTTTTGTAAAAAAATTCAAAAGATTTTAACGTCATTATGGCCCGAGTTATTGCTTCAAATGATTAGTCGTTTTGCTCCCATGTTTCATAGAAAGATATAAAACCGTTGCCTTCAAAATGTTGAACGAATTTTTCTTGTCACTACACTTAAGATTATGTTTGTCGATTTCAAATACTGGAGAAAGAAATTCTTGCGAGTTATTTATTCACTCGGAAACAGCGAGTCACTTATTCACTCGCAAACTTCTCACACTCGAGAGTGACTCGCAACTGCATCGCGAGTGAGCTCATCTCGCAACTCGTCCCTCTCGAGTGACTCGCGAGTCACTCGCCATTCGATACTCGCGAGTCAAGTCATGTTACTCGAGGTCGGTACTGAATGTACATATGCTTTACGAGACTTTAAATCTTAATGGGACTGAACCAAACCTGTTCACGATATTATTAATATTCTAGATAACATACCTGCGTTTTACTCGTTGAACTATGATACATGAAACACTAGCTGTAGTAGATAATCCTAATAACCAAACGAAGTTAAATTTTACATCCAAACACGCGAGATTTTATCCCAGACGCGTCTTTGTTTGTTTAACGATTCTGTCTCGGCGAGTGAATTGTTTTAACTGCTGCTTTTTTGTAGAGAAAATTACAAAGCAACCGGTGTTGATTCAAAAAAGTATGAAAAACAAAAAAAGGTGTTTCGGGGGTATAGTTTTTATTAAAATGCGAAACTACAACAACATTTATATGTTTGATGTGTTTTTCTTGCTATACTATCAGCCAAACAAATGTTCAATGTCTTCGTAAAATATCTTTTACATACACTTTTGTTGTTTTTTAGCGAGCATGTTTAATCGTTTACGTGTTTTTCTTTCTTGGTTTTGACTGTTCTTCCTTGAGTGAACAAATATTTATCGTTAGCAGTGTTTCACACATTGTTAACGACAAATATTTCTTACTGCTGGCAGCGTTGCATGTATTTTAGTTCAACGGTATTACTAAGATAAAATATTATTATTTGTAAATTGCATATTTTAAAAAGAGATAACCAAAGTACAATTATACAAACGAACTTATATAAATCATAATTTGGCATCATATGGTAACTACCAGGTAGAACCCAGGAAATGATAAAAAAGTAGCTTTACGTAAAAAGGAAACATGAAGTGATATGTAGCGAACCGAAGAAGATACGTGTTTTTTTTAGTAGGGTAAAAAAATGAAATTTGGCCAATAGATCTCAGGCCTTTTATTATGTTCAACCATTGAGACAGTATACTAAATATACAGTACAGCCATTCTATTGAATTTTTTCGTGTCGCGCATGTGATTACCATAATGACACAATAGGAATTATGAAATAACTAACGACAGCCAGTAATCTAATTAAATAAACAGAAAGTTTCACAGCGAACTGGACGTACTGTATATTTCCTGTACTGTGCCAGTGAATCAAAAAATTGAAAGTCTACGTCTGTGGAAGTTTTTATGCCACTAGAGCCCAGTCTTCGCACGCAATGTAAGCATGATGGAAACGAAAATTCTTAAAAATGATCTTTGAAGAACATAAACTTAAATTTTCTTGTCATAACTTGAACACAAAATTTATAAACTTTAATATTACATCGAACTTTTTACATATTTTACAATCGAAGCATTTTCGTAGTCCATACATTGCAATGGCTCTCCAGGAGTTATGATGTTTTTTCAATACTGACGAAAAGCTTAATGTAAAGATTTTTTGTACCAGTTTGAACAATCCATCAACGCCAATACTCGATCATTTATCACATAATTCAGTTGAAAATTTGTAGAATAATTTTACCTCATTTTCCTCAAATTATTTACTGTTTGAGCACCGACAAAAACTTGGACAGAAACCAACTTTGACAGATTAATGTTTGTTGTGAAGTGGAATAGTTCATTCACTTGACCAGAGGGAGACATACTAAAGGTAATGGAAAAAAAGATATTATGTAAGATATTTTATAACTATGCACTAAAGAAGCCCTTTACACTATACCGGATTCGCTCATCACGACATCTTCATTTGCTTTAAAGGGGAAACTTTTCGGAGTAAGAACTTATTAAGTTGATAGATTTAGTCTATTTGATTGTGTTTCTAACGTTGAACAATTTCACTGCCTTTTCTTGCAACAAAAATCCTTTACTATAATGGTCTTTACTTATTATTTCTAACGGAACACTGTGTCAGTGCGGTATTACTTATCAAGAGAACTATTCTGGAGGCAAAGTTTCCATACGTATCCACTTACAACTGTCATTCACTGTGTTATCTAGCACAGCGACTTAAAAACGGAACCATTTTTTCATTCCGCATCTATCTTTGAATCCATGATTGCTTACTTAAAGCAAATCGGCACCCTCCTGCGTCTCTTTCAGCATTTGCTAGGAGAGATATGCACCCCCTGTCCCACACTCCTGAGCAATTCATTCCTACTTTTTCTCCTATTCGATCATCCCTTAGTTCCTTGTCCCTTTCTAGAAAGTTTTTTCATGATTTTCTACTGGTTAAACATTGTAGATCTTTCATGTATACAATTTTTTTGTTGATAGTTTTGGCTCTTCTTCGTCGACTCTCCCTACCAGCTAGAGATGCCCACTACAACTTCAATTTTACGAGCTCGGAAAGCGTGTGTTATCTATTTGACAATACAAATCTTGAGTCAATGACTGCTTTTCCATGTATCTCTGCAACATAGCCATCTATATATGACCTGATGACCTAAACATTTGTATTATTGTATTGAAATTTTAAAGTGTTGTATCAAAAGGGGTGATGATCGAGTCCCCACAGGATTCTTATTCATCATTGATTATTGCTTGCAATGAGTCACGTGAGAGTGCGCGCGATCCACAAGCAAGCACAGCCCTCGCACATTCAGCTGAGTTGTTGCTCAAACCCAATTCGGGTACAGCTGATTTGAATACAGGTAAACTGCTAACTATAAATATTGCTGCTCTGGCATTGCTTGGTCATGCTACCCATCAATTGTCTATGCATCGGAGACAAGCTGTAAAACCTTGTTTAAATAAGGAATTAGCATCTATTTGCTCACCACAGGGACCAGTCACTGAGTTTCTATTTGGGAAGAGTTCCAGGCTCAAATTAACAACATCAAAGCATCCAATAAGATTGGAAAAGTGATGGCCTCATCACGGTCTTCAGGACAGCCTTTTAAAAGCAAAGAGTCTTGGAAAGATTCATTCTAATAAATTAGAATGAATCTAATTGTAAATCTAATTGTAACATAAAGCATTGTTAGTTGAAATATAAATAGCAAGTATGAATCCTTTCTTTACTTCCCCATTGCAAACAAGACTCCTCACCCCTCCCCCCCCCTCCTTAACGATTGTTTTTTTTGTTGTTGACTGACGTTCCGACAACCTTAGCGGTAGTCATCTTCAGAGTCAAATGAAGATGACTACCGCTAAGGTTGTCGAAACGTCAGTCAACAACAACAAAAATAGTCTTTCTCAGGACTATACTAACCTGGACGATCTACATTTACAAACATGTAACATTAAACATCTTTTGTTTCTTTTATAAAATAACAGTAATGAGAGACAGATGAATTAAAAATAGATGTTTTATTAAACCTCTTATTTTATTATACGTCTTTAAAGCTAGTATCTTGTGTAATATCATCGCATTAAATGCTCGTTGCTGTGAATAACTTTGTTTGCAAGTACGTTACTACGTTACCGTTAGTCCGTCACTTTGTGGGGTCGCTTTATGGGTGACTACGAAGTTTCATCTTCCGCTAAAGTAGCTCATTGTGACTTAAACTATTTATATTTTTTCTAAACTTCAAGTGCTATTTTTAGTAGTGTTTTACTAAAACTGGAAATAGTTCCCTCAAAGCAATTTTTCCAGCCTTACAGCTGTACTAAAGATGACATCACAAGATGTTGAAATATTCGTTGTCATGTTTATTAAATGCGTATTAACGATTCGGCTTCTACGTGGGCAAAATTGCTTTATCTATGCTGTTGTATGATTTATATCATCTGTTTTTTATAGCTATCAAGATCATACAGAAGAAAAGTTAAAGGAAAAGACTGAGGATGAAGCCAGTAAAGGAGATGGCAAAGAATCCGATAGCAATGTGCTGGAAAGTAACGATGAAAGCTCTGTAAAGAAAACATTGTAAAAAATGTTTCTCACGTGGAATATTAAAGTCAGAAAATAATGCTATGGCAAAATATAGAGTTTGAAATTTGAAGCGATATAATCTGTGTAATGCAAAAGTATTTTACCGTTGGGGGTGAGGTGAGGTGGGGAAGGGCAGTCAGGCATTAAATAGTACTTAGTAATATGACCGATTTTCCAATTGGTCAATCAGACCATAGGTCTCTAAAATCATTTAGCTAGCTAAATAGATTAAACAAATACATTAAACTCTCCTCATTTCATCGTAACAGACCGCGCACCGCAAACTTCTGTTTCAATGTTACGGTCTGTTGCAATGAAATGGGAGAGAGTTATCGTTATTTATACAATTTAGCTAGCTATGTGATTTTTTGGGCCACCTATGATCAGACCATACCGATAAACAACTATTTTCTCTTTGCATTTTTCTCTGCTCTAGGAAGTATATGTATAGGGAGGGTAGCGAGTGGAGAAACAATGGAATTTTTGCCTTGTTGGATAAGGAAAATCCTTATTTTCAAAATCGTTCAACATTCGTGTAACGTCCAAGCGGCCATTTTGTTAGGATACTTTAAAGAACCGATGCTCAACAGAACCTTGAAATCAACATAACTTTTTTCGCTGTATGTGTTTTTCGAAAAATAAGTCAACCGATAAAAAACATCTCATCCATGTCATGTGCGCAGCAAAAATAGGTAGACACTAGACACTCAAATTGGGGAATGAACTCAGCTCTACCATGAAGTGAGATTTAATACGTTATTAATATCAACTGGTACGTATAAATTGTTATTCCTTTATAGTAAATTGTCATCCATTATATAAATTATTCTGAAGGTCGTATACTGATAGAATGTTTCAACAGGATTGAAGGAAATGGGAAAGACTTATCGACCAGTTTTCTGGTTATTTTACAATTTAATTGTGTTTAAGTATAGCCCTGGAAGGAAACATAGCCCATTGTGTTTAAACATAGCCCTGGAAGGAAATATGATGAAAAAGTTTATCAGTTTCAAAATATCAAATCAGTTTCACAAAATTCGACACGAAACTTCTACATGCGGTTAGAAAAGATACAAAACTAATCAAACAGTGCACGAAACCTACAAAACACTGAAGGATAATTTTAACAAGAAAGGTTTACAGCATGATGATAAAAAAATCCATAAAACGGTAAGCACGATTCAGACTTGGAAAGTTGTTTCAACAGTTATTGCTGAAAGTATCATTCCTGTGTGTACGATCCGTTCCATACGTTTATCATAAGTGCACTTGTTCTTTCATGAAACAGTTCAAGCTAAGCCTAGAGAAAACAAGATATCATGGAATATAACATGAGCAACAACATACAAAGAACACATGTTTGAGATCTACAAACTAAAAAAAAAATATCGTAAAAGAACATAAGCTGGTGACAACACAAAAGGAAACAATCAAAGCTCTAGAAAAACGTATGAACGAACGAAACATATTGATTGAACAAACAACATGAAATAATAAAGAAAGTTAGAATACTGCTGGATAACTGTGGATCGCTTGCTATGGGTAACTAGGGACACTGTAAAGCAAGAGTAGACTGTTCGACTAATGTCAGTGTACTGTTTGGTTTTGTTACATACATATCATAAACTTAAACTTAAAAAGAAGGGAAATAACATTAAAAAAGAGCACATAATGAAATAACAGACAACAAGATATTTAGCTAAGAAAGATAAATATGATTGGTTTTCATTGTAATAATTTGTCACATGAAAGGACGTTAATCATGCTATCTTTCTGCAAGTACGTATTAATTTCTTTTACATATGAAAAGAAGAAAACTACAAAGTAAATGACAGGTTTTTACTTGCTGTTTTTTGTAAAAAATTTAATATTTTAATGCAAATACATATGAAAAGAACAGGTATACCTGTTCGTACGTGAACTGGTGTGTAAACCATAAACTATACCCAATGTTGCGTATACTTTTTATTTCGTTTCCATCGTAGAAATGCGCAGAATACTCTTATTTTATGAATCTGACGATGAAATGTTTGACATATAACTCAATGTTGCATGTGGTAAATGAATAATGGTTATTGGATTATTTAAAGATATTTTCTTATAAAATATTAAAGAATCTTACGTAGATATAACATGAAATACATAATGAAGAGATATTCACTTGAATAACACCATGCACTAACTACAACCTTGACTCGTTTACAAAAAAATGACAAGAAAAGTTAGTGAAAATTATAACAAAGTTGCAAAGTTAAACTATCGTGGATACATCGCACAGTTTGTTATTTTTTCTAGTTCTACGATCTCTAGACATTGCTACATCTATAGCAGTTCTCGTAAACGCTTGGTCAAATAATGATGACTGGAAAAACATCGATAGTACTTACACAAACAAATCTATTGGAGAGGGAAGAGTGGATTGCTCAATCAACCTAAAAAAGTTTGTCAAGACCTTAAAGATTGGAAAGAACATGGTATCGATGCAAGTATTTCAAACTACAAACTGATTCTCTATTTTACCGTAATATTTGATGTAACGTCTGTCATTATCTTCTTAACACGTCTCGCATTTTGGTCACAGACCTTACGTAAAATATCAAAAGATGAAAAGAAAAAATTATACAGACGACAACATCGTTACAAGATTAACAAAAAACATTAGAATAGCTTTACTAACACCTATTGTTCGTGCTGTACCATTATCTTGTTTAAACACAGAACTTCTTGCTTTACGTTCCGGACATAATGGTCTCGTATGTATGGCGTGTATACTTGGAGAAAGATGTTTGTTTAAGAAACAATATGAAGCCATATCATAGCTGCTGCTTGTCCAAATAATTTTAAGTGACGTAAATTTATCAAACAAACGATTTTTATTGTCTCTCAATGAAATACGAAGTTTCAGATCTTGAGGACTTCGTACGTGGAACTAAATGTAACAAAGATGGTGATTGTAGATACATGAATAATGAATTCAATAATAGAACATGCAGTAAATAGATAATGCTGCGGTATAGTCAATACATTGCAAACATATTTGTATTTTATTAAATCTATATTTGACACTTCCTTAACATGACAATTTTCGTTCTACCATAATTTCTAATTAGCAGCAATTTTAAAAACACTTGAGAAAACGACGATTTATTTGAGAGCAAACATGTTTCGACATTATCAGAATGCCAGGTGTAAATGTAGATGTGCATGTACATGTACATGTAGATGTACATGTAGATGTAGATGTGAACGTTAAACGCGAGATGGAAGTGGAAGCTGTTACAATGGAGACGAAAATCGACAAAGTTAGAAAACATATGATTCTGAAATAAAAGAAATTTAGAAGAATCATAAGAAGGAAATTGGTAAGGTAAAATGGATACTCAATAAATTTTAAGTCTACGTACGTATGGCGTTGATCAAACTAAACAGCGTCGATTACTCATCATTTGATTCCGCTAATTTTTGTTCATTTTTTTCATGAAAAAATAAACAAATAATTATTTCTTCTAGATGCGCAAAGATTTTCAGGAAATAGTGAAGCTAAAAACTCTTTGAAAGAGGAAAATGTTTGGTTTAAAAGCGAAAAGAAGAGATGGATGGTAGGATTAAGAAATTACGAGAAAAATTAAAACAAACAAAACATCAACTGGATGAGTGTGTCAAACGAGAAAATGATAAAGAAGTAGAGTTGGAAGTTGCCCATAATAAGATTGAAGTAAGAGTAAGTTTTTTTTGTAACTTTGTGTATATGTGACACGTTTTTACGGTAAACAATCTATCACGTGTTGTATTCAATCCATCACGTGATGTATTAATCTATCACGGGGTGTATTCAATCTATCATGTGGTGTACTCAAAGATCCATTAAACTTTATCATATTCAAAGTTTTTTTATTGAAATTGTCTGATTCAAAATCGTTTCATTTCAGTCAATGAATCGTGAACGACATTAGACAACTTGAAAATTGAATACAATCAGAACAATATTGAACGGGTCCGGTTTGTTGCTTAACTTTTAACCCATTTTCCATCAAATTTTTACTTCTTTATCTTCTCTTTTATCCCATATCTTCCTAGGCCCGTTCATTACAGGATTTCATTTCACAATTAACAGAACTTCAGGAGCAATTTCAAACATTAGCGCAAGCTCAACATGAGACAAAATTACTTTGCAAGTAAAGTTCTATAAATTTACATATCCAAAAAAGTCACCCTGTTTCATATGGTGGACTTTATATAATCCATGTGGTAAACCGTATTGTCCATTTAGTGAACCATATCATTCATTTAGTCTTAGTGAACCATATTATACATGTATTGAACCGTATAATCTATCCAGTGAGCCGTCTTATTATCCATGTAGCAAACCGTATTATCCATGTAGTGAACCGTATTATCCATATAGTCAACCGTGTTATCCATATAGTCAACCGTGTTATCCACATAGTCAACCATGTTATCCATGTAGTGAACTATATTATCCATACAGTCAACCGTGTTATCCATGTAGTGAACCATATCCATACTGTCAACCTTGTTATCCATACAGTCAACCGTCTTATCCATGTAGTGATCCGTATTATCCATATAGTCAACCGTATTATCCATGTCGTGAACCATATTATCTATATAGTCAACGTGTTATCCATGCAGTAAATTGAATTATCCTAATCATAAAACAATTTTCTACATCGTCAAGGCAAAAGGATGAGAAGATCAAAAAAGAAAAACAGCGTCGAATAGAAACTGAATTGATTTGTGAAGTGAGATAGTTGTTATTATAATATTATCTATTTCAAGAAATACAGCATTGATTTCATAGTTTTTTCTTCTATTTTTTAGTTTCTTGTGAATTGTTGCTTTTCATCGATTTTGTTATTCGAATTTTTCGAAATTGAAATCTCGTGAAAAACATCTTAAAGTGAAACACATCAGGTCAACTATATTCAAACTTTCTCAACAGCAAAATTCAAAGAGACGCGAAAACACGAGATTGAGTATTCATTAGCAATCTATAATAAACGTATGAAAAAAAATTTTCGTTGCCAATGTCCTTTAATATAAATGATTGGAGTGACAGAAACACCAACTTCAAGGAAACGTTGTGATGAAAGAAAAAGAAATGCAAGAAGTATGTATTTTAAATGATTTTGGTTTTTTGAAATGCATAATTGCTTTTCTCTGTTAGGAACTTACGACGAAACACTGAAAAATTACATTGTGGCGGTCACCTGTAAATCTGGGCGTGCTATGCAAATTTTTCTGTGTTTAATCATTGTAAAAACATTTTCTTTAAAAATGATTGATGATTGTGCTCTAAACTTTACATACCAGGAGTTCTACTTGCTGGCTTGCTACGCTAATGAAACATTTAAGTCACTAAAGCCTGTTTTCCACTTGCCACGTATTGTAACGTATCGTAGCAAAACGTAACATGGCGCATGCGTACTTATGAATTTGATGGTCAATAGGCGCAAGCACAAATGCGCCATGCTACGTTTTGCTACGATACCTTACGATACGTAGCTAGTGGAAAACAGGCATAAGTCAGGTTTTTTTATTGCCGATTTGATTTTTTGACTTACCCATGGATTAGAAATGCTGCCTAAAAACATTCGTCTTTGCGAACTTCTTTGCCTTAGCATTTCATTTAGAACTGTGAAATTTCCTTAGATAGAGATGCATGAATATAATCTGTACGTTTTTTGTAGGCGGATTGTTAAACTTTTCCGTGTCTGTTTTTTAATAAATTTAATGCAAAGTGATCTGAACCCTCTGGATCAACGATTTAAAACGTTACTTTCACTTCATTGAGTGCTTGCTTTGCAAAAAAATTAGCGAAATTCTGACGAAGAAATTAGTTTGCTGTTGATTTTAAGAAGCGCGATTTCTTTTGTCGCACTCCAAAAGTACGTATGAGAGTTAGGGAACATTTAGAGTCCGTTGGCTCTTACTGATTTAAATGCTGAAAAGTCGTCTCGTGCTCTACGTATAAATATACTTTTGTGTCCTCGTTGACAAAGCTATTTCTTCAGGCTGCAGCATTGAGTAAAAAATTGCAAAATCGTCTGAATGAAAAGACAGAAGTTGAGTTAAGAGGCGAAATCGAGAGGGTGTTTTCGGAATAAAGTAAATGGTTTGAACCGTAAATATAAGTGTTTGAAAAGTAAATGGTTTCAACACGACAAAAAAAACAGATCATCGTAAAGCATAATCAAACTCGCCTCGTTTGTTTATTGTATTTTATTGTGTAAAAATTCCCAGTGTAACACGGCGTGTATATCTTTAGAGACATAATATGTTTATGCGTGTATTGCTGTGCAGGTAGCCGCACAAATATTTTATCTCTAATTATAAATTGTGTTCATGATTTAAGGATGCTTACAAAAAAGCAAAAATGGAAAACGATCGTCAGGCAAGCGTTATTATTTTACAATTTGAAAGTAAGTTACGCGAACATCAAGATAGTATTTGTGAACTGGAGGCGAGACTTCGAGGTAAGGAGACAATACGACGTCAGCTTCGTAATAAAGTACAAGAGTTGAAGGGTAACATTCGCGTCTATTGTCGTGTTCGGCCAAGTCTGCCTTCAGAAACTAGTGTTTCGCTCACTAATATGGAGTTCGCCAATGACACTGATATTATTCTACGCAATAACAGCAAGGTATGTGTTTATTTATGTAGACCTTTCAATCTTTTATTGGGAACATTACGCTGTTCCGTTTATTTATGTTTACGTACGTACATAAACATACCAACGTTGTTTGGTGAATATTGAAGATTGATTCAAATGTTTTGCGAACTTTCCTGTTTAGTCTAGTACTTTGTCTAAGAAAAGCCAACAAGCCAGAATGTCATTTTCATTTGACAAAGCATTTTGTCCAGAAACCACTCAAGTAACGATTTATCAAGAAACAGCACAGCTAGTTCAAAGTGTGCTTGATGGATACAATGTTTGCATCTTTGCGTATGGTCAGACTGGATCAGGTAAAACATTTACAATGGAAAGTGATATCAAAGGCCGTGATACGTGGGTGTGATACCACGTGCTATGGAACAAGTCTTCTTTAGTGCCAAGGATCTCATGAGTAAAGGTTGGAAGGTAATAAATGTCAATTTTGTACACATAAAGTATATTATTAATGACGAGAGTTGACTTTTCAGAAAGATACATGTAGCTCACGACACATGATTATGTTAAATCGCTCGATTGGGTTTTTCCAGCCATTTATTCAATCATGATTTTTCCCAAAACTTTATGTAGTACGAGATACAAGCGTCTTTTCTCGAAATATACAGCGAGACAATACGTGATCTCCTTGGAAACCCAGACAGCAAACATGAGATTAAACAAGTAACCACAAACAATGGCAAACAAGCCAACGATGTGTTTGTTACCAACTTGAAAGCCGTTGCCGTTACATCATCCGATCAAGTAAGTAGCATTCTATTTCGTCATCGGCCTAAGTCGTTACGGGGCCGTACGAAAGGCTGTAACACCTGTGCGCAAGCAAGATTTTTTTTGAAGAGGTTTTTCACTTCAGTTTTTTGGAATTTGCGGTTGTGGAGTGAGTTATCTGTGTTGCTTTAAGTTTATATCGTTTTAGTTTATGGTTTCTATGTTTTTTTTTAAACTTTCTTTCGCCTTAGTTTTACGTTTTTAATTTAGCTCTCTATTATTGAAGCAAACGATGATATCGTTGAATTTCATAATTAGTTTTCTCATACTAACATGCCGGCTACGTATGTCTCCTACGTGAATCGCCATCTTCTATGTAACGCAAAAAATTATGTGTTTGTAAATGTAGATTGTCCAGATTGGTATAATCCTGATATGTTTGTAAATGTTGATCGTTCAGGTTAATAAACCCGGACCGACTACTAGACCAATAATCTTACAACCCTACATAAACAATCAGAACAATAACAAGACGTGCACAAATCATATGAACACAATCAGAACATTAACAAGACGTGCACAAATCACATGTCAGAACATTAACAATCAGAACATTAACAAGAAAATCATATGAACACAATCAGAACATTAACAAGACGTGCACAAATCATATGTGATTCACAGGACGCTTTACAATACGAAAACAACTATCTCAAACGTGTTTTCGACAAAAACAACTATAACTCTGACTTTATCAAACCCAACACGTACAAACCCAACGAACCCAACGAAACGAACAACTCAGTGACAACAGCAACGATACCTTACATCAAAGGTACGTCTGATAATATCTCGCGTATCTTACGACCATACAACATACGTGTCGCACATAAACCAATCACAACGTTACGACAAGTACTAACGAACATAAAGGACAAAGAACAACCCAACGAACGACAAGGTGCAGTTTACAAAATAAACTGCTCTGACTGCCACGCCTCCTATATCGGGGAAACTGGCAGGAACTTAAACATAAGACTTACTGAGCACAAACGAGCTACTAAGAAACAAGACAAAACTAATCACATTGCCGAACATCACCGAATCACAAAGCACAACATTGACTGGGACTCGGCAAAATGCATCACTTACAGTACTGACTATAGACAACGGCTTACATTAGAAAGTTGGTACACCAACTAGAAACAAACCCCCCTGAACAGATCACAGCAATTACTGGCACCTTACAAACGACTTATTCACAATACAAACAAACGATCAACTAAAAAACATCACACTTCAAACTAATTCACAATGACAATACACAATTGACACCCACATTACAACTAAAAACGTCACACCTATATCACACATCACAACTAAAAATAAAATATTTCACTTCACACTAATCCACAATGACAATACACATTTCCTGCACACACAATACAATGACGTAAGAACCAGACAACAAATACGGCTAACCTGACGTTTACTCCTCTTTGACTCTGAAGATGACTACCGCTAAGGTTGTCGAAACGTCAGTCAACAACAACAAAACAGTCCTTCTCAGGACTTTATTAACCTGGACGATCATCATTTACAAACTTATAGTTGACTCTCGGGCCCCTTCTGATCATCCAAAACACGCATATCAGATGAGAAAACTAAAATTGTTCATAGAAATTACAAGCAAGCCACATGAAATGCTTTTTCGAGTTGATTTATACAAACAGCCAGTGTATCCCCTTAAAAGAATCTGTGACAACTGTTCTTCTATTTGAATAGGTAGAATAGCAAAGTGGAAAAGTTGAATTTTAGAAAGGCAATATATTTGCTCCAGTAAATCATTTGCCAAAGAACATGCTTTGAGGGTTTTTCGGAAAGGCTTCAAAATAGATTTTGTATTCTATTAACGCTGTGCACAATGCGATTTTTAAACATTACATAAATATAAGAAAAATACATACATCTGCAACAATAGACCGTTCTTTGAAATTCCAACAATAAAAATTGCATGTTTAGATTATTTATTCCAGAAAATAAATGTTTGCGTCTGTTTTAACTTTACTCAATCATACGTAGCTATACTGTGTAGAGATGATAGTCAAATAAATTATAATACATTTTAGGCTAGTCACGTGCCTTATAGAACCTCGAAATTAACTCATTTGTTGCAAAACTCTCTTGGTGGTAACAGTAAAAGGTTGGTATTACTGAATATATGTGTATCAGATTTTCATCAATGCACACACGTCATTGTAGATGACATGAAGTATTAACATGTGTTAGTTGTGATAATTAGTGTATGTAAATAATACATTCATATTTCAGTTTGATGTTCGTGAATGTTTCTCCTCGCGAGGACTCTTTCCAGGAAACCCTATGTTCACTTCGATTTGCCACTCAGGTATGATTCGTATATGTCATAGCATGATTTCGAGTGCAATTCGGGGAAAACATGCACGAGTGAGTTTTTCAAAGACTATCGAAATTGCACGAGAAACCATGCTATTACTTATTAATAATATACATGAAAAAATTTCTCAATCCTGCCGGCAAGTTGTAAATATCGACCAACTCGTATTTTTGAATTCCGTGAAATATTACTTTTCACAACACCATAGCTTCCGCACACGCAGCTAGAACAAGGTATCTACTTTTAGCAGTGTTCATGTTTTCATACAGAAATAATTTGAAAACGGTGAACTGTAAGCTCGTTCGCCAAAGCATGAGTGTATGATCTATGAAGTAGAACATATATTTAGCATTTAATCTATTGTTGTATTTTCTCATGCTCTGTCATTAGGCTGCGACTACAGATATTTTTCATACGTCAATTTCTACGTGAGAAAGTGAATCTCATTTCATTTGGTTATAAACTATATATGTATGTTGCAACTAGCATTCAAGTTATTGTTTTTGAAATTTAACGTAAATTGTAACAGTGAAATCTGCACAACAATGTCATCAGGCATTAATATTTCACTATTGGCTGATTTCTAAAGGACATGACATAAGCATCCGCATAAACGTAAACTTAAAAAATATTTAACTCAAAGAAGAACAAATGAAGAATTGAATAAAAATTCCACGATGTCTTTGTTCTTGTAAACATTTTAGTAAGAGAAACTAAAGTCTTTTCGCTCATGTTCATTCCACTGTTGTAAAACATGCATAAACGTTTTAGCACGCTGCCTTACCCTACACTTTTATTCCATCAAAATCGCCATTTTCCATTCATTGATATTCCGTGTGAAAACTTTAAGAAATAACTTACAAGACATTCCTCTGCAGTACAAAAAGTGTGAAGTTCAAAGTAATTATAAATGTCTTATAATACAATGATATCAAACAAAAATATTTCCACTCGAAGTTCAGGCACAAAAATAGAAAATTTACTATAATATACATATACAAGGAAGTTTCTTTACGAAAACAATAAAATCCATAAAGACAAAAAATGTTTTCATATTCTTAAAAATTATTTATCAGGATTAATGGCACAATTTCACAGAATACATACGTCAGTTGTTTTGCGGTAATAGTCAATCTGATGAATGTCGCGAGCTAAACCAAAGTCTGCAATTTTCATTACTCTATCTTCACCAACTAAAATATTCCTGGCAGCAAGATCGCGATGAATACACTACAAAATTATTGGTGGTGTAAGGATAAATCATCACACCAATGCTTATATAGCTGTACAGTGATATAGTTCAATCTAAAGCTACCTTTCTTCCTGACAAATATTCCATTCCACGAGCAATTTGATAACTGAAGGAGACGAAATCCCTAAAGCACAACTTTTCTTCTCCTTCTATTGGAATGGTCTCTCCGTTTCGGTCAAGTCTTCTTTCACGAAGATATTCTCGTAAATTGCCGAAAGGTGCGTATTCGACAACCACCAGTAGCGGTCCTGAGAATTTAATGAAAGTAAATCAACGAAGCATAGTTTATGCGTGTAAGCATGTAGCTAGTAGGTATTCTCAACATTCAGTAGACTTTCAAAATCATCAGGAATGACACTTACGTCTGACAAAGCCGAGTCATGTCTTCGAAAACGCTGATTGTTCAACAGCGGATTCGTCGAGCTAGTCGACACAGATGATGAAGTAGAGCTCAGCAGGTCTCTCCCCCGTGGATAATTTCGAGGGCGATAGCCGGCAACGCTAAACACGCGTTTCTTGTGTTTCTTGCATTTGAATATTAATAAGTAGGCAATAATTGAGCCTATGACACGAACGATGGCAGCCACGGATACAACAATGTAAAGGGAAATTCTTGAACTCTGAACTGATTCGTCCTTCTCAACTGGTTGTTGCTGGAGCATGCTGATGGTGCTGGAAAAAGTCTGGTTTGCTGTAAAAAGAAATGTGTGTAAACAAATAGTTGCAAACCTTGTTTTTGAAAATAGCTACAGTCAAACAGTCTTTGTCAGAAAATCACGTGTCATATGTAGATCACGCGTCAATGATAACACCTTTTTTATGGAAATAATCGTGGAAGTGAGATTAAAATCCATTGCTCTTAAAATTTCAAATAAAGTAAAAATCTCTAAAATAGCAGTTGCCCAGACAACGTGGAAAAGTTTTTTCGCTATTCGTAAAAATCATTGTAGTTTTTTCAGAGTTTTGTTGCTCCTTGTGAAAACATACAATGCGTTGATTGGTGTCAGAGTGTTACATACATATATATGTTATTTACCGGCTGGGAGGTTCGGATGGAAAAATATTTTCCCGAGGTCTCAAAAAAAATGCCAGTGGCCGCAGGCTGAGAGATATTTTTGCGACCGAGGGGAAATATTTTTCCATCCGAGCAAATCTAAATGGTAAATAACGTATATATTTTTTGCTAAAGTAAACAATGAACACTTTGCTCTTCATTTTACTTCAGAAAATTCAAAATTCACCTAAAATAGATTATTATAATCAAAAGATGGCTGATAATTTCCTTTCGGAGTAAAACAAAACCAAACAAAACAGAAAAAGTCTTCGCTCAAGTATTAGCAAGAGGATTCCGGACAGCAGTCAGATATCGTAAAATTTCGGACCGCGATCAAATATCGCAAAATCCCGATGGCTGCTACAGCCACTCAGATTACAGGAAAAGCTAGGATTCTGCTCGCTGCGAAATTTTAAAAAAACAAAAAGATTTATTCATATCGCAGTTAAATTCAGCTAGTCACTTGATTAACAGTCGAAATAAAACTAATGAAACCATTCGACTAGACCAGGGATCTCCAAACTTTACAGCCAGAGGGCCACATGAACTTTCATTCAGCATGTTGAGGGCCGACGAACCGTATACCGCAGGTCAAAGAGCGAATATTTTAATAAAACGAAGTACATTACACAAGCTTCATTAGTTAAGAAAATATTTATTCAAAATTTGAAGGTTAAATTTCAACCAAGAGTAGTATCATAACAAAATAACTATTAGTCTGTTCAGTTTTCTCAATGTGAGTGGTGAAATTGGCTTCTAGTGTCTCTGCGGGCCAGATTCAGAGGCCGCATCTGGCCCGCGGGCCGTAGTTTCGAGACCCCTGGACTAGACAATAAGCTCATGCAATGGTTGCGAAACTGCGCCAATGGTTTTATATGAGCGAAAAATAAAACATAAAAACGCACTCATCTGACATGGAGACTGGCGTCATAGGTCTTGGTAAAACGTGGAGGTAGAATCATAACCCAGGTTATCGCCAACGACACAATAATAGTACCATTCGTCTTTTCTGGTTACGTTAATGAAGAGAATATGCACACCATGATATCGTTCATCTCCACCTTTCCATATACATTCGTCTTCGCTCAAGTTGGGATCCAGGACACGTACAGTTGCATTTTCTCCTTCGACGACAGCCCACTGAAAGTGCGGCAGACTATCGCTAAAAGCTTTACAAGTTGCCTTCACGTTGTCACCTTCTTCATATGCGTAATTAGAGGCTTTGTTATGAAGACTTCTGAAAAATTGATTTTAGCATGCTTTTTGTAAGCGATTTGTAAAAAAATAGGAAGAAAATTAAAGAAAGAATTGATATATATTAAAGCATTTGACATAGCAATTTTATTGGTGAAAGTCTCTAGATACCGATGTTATATGCTTTGTAAATAAGTCAATTAATATTCGGAAGAGTGTAAAAAAACAGGTCCATTTTACTACATAAATTAAGAAACGTGAAAAATGCCTTGATGTTATCTGCAAGATTTAATTTCTATCAGTCACTTAGAAAGTAATTCAACCCAGAAATTTAGCATTCAAATAAACTCATGCGCCTTTATTTTGTATAATGGTCATTAAAGAAAGTGTGCTATCCTGCATGCTGCCCAAAGCACCCTCAAATTTTGCAATTTCAGGCTGTAATTATTCATAGAAGGACTGAGGAGAGTGAATTTCACTAAATTCCATCAACCACAATTCAAAAATCGAAGATGGCGTCTAACGATCAACCAGCAATTTTAAAGATTTGAAAAGCAATTATTCTAGTTTGGGCGCATAGTTTTCTTGGGAATTTTTTTATGGGTGTATGCTAAGAGGAAAAGTACAAAATTGTAAAAATTTTCCATTTCTCAGATGTGTATCACGAAACAAAACAATTTGGTTTCATGGTCACGGCCTATCTGAAAGGAAAAGCATAAAACGAACGTTTTTGAGTAACTACCTTTGCTAGTACTGTGTATGTTGTTGAGATATTTCCCACTCTGTTCCATAAAAACAACGGTAAGATCCGTCGTCTTTGGATTTACATCGTGAAATATTAATACTTGTGTATCGTTCGCTAGAGGGTTTTTTCCATCCGGCATCTACGACATAAGTTGACCGTTTTTGTACCATTGCACCTTTGGTGAAGGTCGTCCATTAGCTTCACAGTTCATTGAAAACCGTTTTCCAACAGGAAAGTACTTGTGTTTCTTTTTTATCAAATGCGGAAATAGAAAAACGGGTGCAAAATCTATGAACATTTAGAGAGCAATGAATGTCCACAAAAAAGAGGTATGTCGTTATGATAGCCACTCCAGATTCTGAATACTCGATATTATAGGAGTGCCCTTTTTGGCACTTACCTTTAGTGATCTTGTCTACACGTGAGTCTGAAAAAAAATAAACATAATAGGAAAACAGGAAAGCACAAACTACAAGTCTTTGCCAGAACTTTGTCAAAAGAAAACCAGAAAATACAAATCAAAAGAAAGTTGAAGGTATAGCATTGTCGTGATCAAGGATCGAAGGCATTTAAACACTTACCCACGACAACAACGTTTATTATTCTGCTCACTTCTCCCGCCTTGTTTCTTGCCCAGCAAACGTATTCACCCAGCGTCAGCCATGTGATCTTTTATTCTCAGATATCTATTCTTCTTGTAACGATATATTTTGCTATTTGTTACGCGTTTCCCTTCTCGTGTGAACCAGTAGTCGTTGTCCTCAGCACTGAGCACGTTACAGAGAATCTTTTCCTTGCGAGACTCGTTTTCAACTTCAACCTTTGTGATGTTCGTTGTGAACGATGGAAGTTTCGTACTATTGGCTAAAATTGTTTTGAAAAAGATCGTCATTTCCACTAATTTCAATAATTCCAATAAAAATAAAAAATTCAGTAATACATGCAGTAAATAGATAATGCTGCGGTATAGTCAATACATTGCAAACATATTTGTATTTTATTAAATCTATATTTGACACATCCTTAACATGACAATTTTCGTTCTCCTCATTTATGTATACAGAAAAAAATTTTTTCATTAAAAGTTACAAAAACATTAATGTTTCTCTAGAGGTACTAAACAAATGAACAATTACTAATTATACGTAACAAATACCTCTTTATTAGGACTCTGACAATCCTGTAAACTGAACGTACGATCCGTGATCTCGGGTAGTTGGACATCTGGTTCAGAGTTGAGGGTGGCAGGTATCATGCAGGCAAATCTCAAAGTGATAATAGAGCTCGCTGGATAGTTATTAGTTTCTGATGGATTATTGCCAATTGTAACCACAATATTTTGTTCCCCGAACTCCTTACAAGTCACGTGATAATAATGTAGAGAGCTTTGTTCACCGAACGGATGTTGTGGTATCACATCAGTTCTTATTGAGATCAGAGCTAACTTCTCAGAGTTCAATGAAGTACAAAATATATTATAATTAGTTACTAAAGTAATACAATGGATGTAATTAACTTTCTCATAATGTGTAGATCTGACATGAAACCATAAATGACGTGGTTACGTACCTTTCTCATAATGTGTTGATCTATCATGAACCCATGGTTGAGGTCCACCTTGTATGATAAAGTTCTTTGCTGAACCAAGGGTGACAACAGCAATGTCAACAGGATCGAGAGCCTAGAAGATAATACATTTATAACGTGACAATAATGGTGTGAGATTTCTCATTTAGGGGATTGAAATTTGACAGTAAAACGAAACAGTAAATAAAATGTTAGAGAAAAGTAGATGAATTTTCCTTACTTTAAGTATTAAGTACGCAGCTACTGTAACAGTTGCTTTAATATTAATATTTTTATATTGATATCCAGCTGTGACAATGACATATCCTTCACGCAAAGCTTTGAGGCACGCTGATGTACAACCAGGAGTAATAATATCATCAAACTCATCCAAAATAAACATTTAAACATTAAAATCCTGGCCAGAGATTTGCGAGGCGGAAAGCGAATTTTCAATATGAACATAATAGCCCAACATAAGACTTTTAAAAAAGCCATCACAATAATAAATAAAAGGTTTTTTTTTTTTATTAATAACGTTTCGTCTTTAATTTAAGACATCTTCAGATTATATGAGATAAATTATATACATAAGGTTTTAAATACGAGCATATACTACAGGGTGTTAAATTACATTAGGAAGGAGGAAGAGAGAATTGAGAAGTCATTAAAATCGGCAGAGTGAGATGTATTTCTTATATGGAAAGAACTGCTGATGGTTGTGGACATAAGGAAGGTTTCTCTGTTAAGGAGAGATTCCCAAGTGTTCCGATATTCTGGTGTGTAATGACGCCAGTGAAAGTGTAGACAGAAGTAAGATAATGCTCCTAAGAAAATCATGTACTTCTGTCTCCGATTCACTGACCTACACTGTCTTCAGATTCGCACTCAAATCACTCGACTC